TTAATGCGCTGCAACTGACGTAGATGAAAACAACATGACTTTACGACACCCCGTATATGATCATGCATGGTCAGATTAGCATCAGGTGTGAAGCCCAGAATTGTGGATGATCTTTCAAATTTAACAATGGCATCATCCATTTCCAGTGCATCTTGATGTATTTTTGATGTCTGCTGTCATGTACCAATTGGTTTTATCTTTGTTCAAATTTATTCCATTTTGTGACATCCAAATATTTACTGCAGCCAACGCATCTTTCAGTCCTTCAGCTAAATCATCAAACTTTTCCACAGGAGCACATGACACTAACTGAATATCATCTGCACACGCATAACACTCCATCTTATGATTCTCCATCATGTCAAACACATCAGCAGTATACAACAAGAAGAGAAATGGCCCCAACACCGATCCCTGAGGGACGCCAGTTAACATTTTTTTTTTATCCGAATATTCATTACCAAATAATATCCGCTGTGATCTGTCATTTAAGTACGACTTGAAAAATCTTAGCACAGTGCCTGAGATTCCATAGCTTGTTGACATTCTTTGAACAAGTATATTGTGATCTACACAATCAAAGGCAGCACTCATATCAAGTAAAGCTAACAATGTCACTTGCTTTGAATCTGATGCCTGAAATAACGTTGACAACAGCTTTAACAGTGCCGTTTCCGTAGAGTGGAATCTTCTAAACCCCAACTGAAAGCACGGAAGATTATTTTCATCCAAGTATTGCAGAAGCTGTCTTGTAACCACCCTTTCAACAATCTTTGCTATAAACGACAAATTTGACACAGGACGAAAACTCATCAACTCATTTGTATCGGACGATGGTTGCTTCAATAGAGGTGTAACAATTGCTTTTTTTAAAAATCATTGAATCATATATATATATATATATATATGTTATAAGAGAATGGAATAAAAGTTATAAATATATGACGTCATTTATATAGAATACCACAGTTTAGCCGTTAATTATATATCTATTGTTTATATTTTATAATTTGTTATTTAACTAGCACGCTCGTGGGCGATGAAATAAGAAAAAGCTTCCGTTATAGTAGTGTTGATATTAATTTACTATCGATAGATTAGAGCAGAGATATTGCAAATGTCGGCATTACAAATTTTGTCTAACATGGCATCCAAGGCCATAAAAGAAAAATTGTCTGAATTAAAGAAAGATGTAAATATTCTAAATGGATCAAAGTAAAATTTTTGACAAAATTTCAATTTTATTTTATTAATTTAACTTTTTTAAGCTTTTTTTAACAACTTTTTCTTAGACTTTGTAAGTCAAAATAAAAATGAACTTTAAATTTTAAAAGTTCATATATATATATTGAGAAAAAACTTGACTTGATTATTATTTTCAAAATATATTATAATGAAATCTATCAATCAATCATCATTTAGCGTCCAGAAACCCAGTTCTCCCGAGGTAGGACATTGTTTTCTCTGCCATCAATTTTTTGCGCCAAATTAGATGATCAGTTGTATTAATTTTTTAAATTTAGAGCTTTCATATCTTTCTCAATTGTTTGCGACTAGGACTTCTTTGGACGGCCTTTGGGATGTGTGCCAGGTACTTCAACATCTGCAAGAGAAGTTATGGCACTGTTTCCACTTCGTTTGACATGACCAAACCCCCGCAGACGGTGTTGCCGGCATTCGTCCTTTATATCATCTAAACCAGCACGACGCAGGATTTCGGTAGATTTGATGTGGTCCTTCTGACTAATTCGTTGCATCCATCGGAGTATTTTCATGTCGGTTCGTTGAAGTTGTTGTTCCAGTTTGGTTGTCATTGGCCATGTTTCTGCACCATATAACAACACCGGACGTATCACAGATTTATAAAGTCTTGATCGTAGTGGTAGTGGGATGTCACCCCGCATCAATATAGAGGCAAGGAGATGCCATTTATTCCAGGCTGCACGTATGCGTGCTCGAACAACAGCTTCAGCTGTTCCAGTACAATCCAGAACATTCCCTAGATATTGAAACGATGTGACTTTCTCTACCTTAATGGCTTCAAAAACATTGCTATTTCGAATCTGTTGTTGTGGATTGATGCAAGCAGGACAAACAAAATTGGACACTTTAGATAAGTACCAATTATTTTTAAACAACGTTTGTGACACCACTGGTTACACTGCTGACACTTGATTGAATTGTTACCAACACCAGCTTTACAAACTGAACAGGGTCATCGTCAGGTAGCTGTGAATTGGATGGGTTCACCAGTGTTCATTGCTTTGGTTTTGCTGATGTTGACTTTGAATCCATGATCAGCGAGTCTGGTGTTCCAATCTTCAAACATCTGTGCTGCATTCTGCTCAGACGTGGCTGTTAAAATGATATCATCAGCATATATTAGATTCCAAATGTCACCAGTGCGTATCGGCTTTGTGATTTCTTCCATCACAGTTATAAATATCAGTGGACTGAGAATTGAGCCCTGGTGAACTCCAATGCCGATGTCAAATGCATCTGTGTTTCTAACTGTTGTGCTGACGAGAGTCTTAGTATTCGTATACATTTCCATCACAAGTCAAACAAAATATTCTGGAATGAGTTGTCGACGTAGACTCCACCTGATTGCTTAACGGGGAATTCGAACAAATATTTTTTCAAGGTCTACAAAAATGTGTGATAGTTGTTGATGCTTTGCGAGGTACTTCTCTTGCAGTTGCCGAAGGATGTGAATTGCATCAATTGTTGTTTTCCCCGCTAGGAAACCAAATTGATAATTTCCGATTCTGATGCACGACGTTAATCTTCTCTCAATGATTTTTTCGACAATTTTCAGGGAGTGTTCTAACAGACGTATACCCCGATATGATGAACAGTTCAATTGCCTTTGTATAGCGGGACTGTCATGCTATAGTTCCATTCAGTCGGCATTGAGCAATTTCTCCAGATTTCACGGCAAAGTTGTAGTAACGTTTGAATACCTGCAGTACCAGATGCTTTGATAATGTCATTTGTGAGTTCAGAGGGCCCTGCTGCCTTCCATCCTTCATAACTTTCAGAGCTTCTGTAAGCTCCTCTACAGTGATGTCTGGAATCGGACCTTCGATGGGTGGAGCGTCAAAGTTAACATTGATGGGATTTGTTTCGTTTAACAGACGGTTGAAGTATTTTCTCCACTGTAGCTTGATCTCATTTTGTTCAAGAACCATCTCATTTTTGTCGTTTTTGATACATAAGGCACCAACTATGTCTTTTTTCATACGCTTTGCTTGTTTTGCTATACGATACAGATATTTCATTTGTTCATCTTTGCTTTTAGTGAGCCAGGTCTGCCACAAGGAGTCTATGTTGGACGACACATGATTCGCCAGATATAACTTTGACATTTTTGAATAGACTTCGGTGCTATTATAAAAATATAAAGATTATAGTTTATACATTCAACAGATCTTTTTCATATATGGAAGGTACATATTAAGTAATAAATACTATTATTAATGTATGTTTCCAAGTGCAAGTTAATAAAGATAAAGAGGTATTGATCGAATTTGTACAGGTTTAAATTAATTTATCAAGTTATTGAGAAATGTAGGTTTTACTCTTTGTTTGAGACTAGTATAGGCCAGCTAATAAAAAAGCTATGGTCACAAGTTATAATCTAAAAAGATAACTCAATAGAGGTGCTCTACAGAACTTCTATACAATATGTTATATATAAAATATAACATAAAATAAAATGCAACTGATTCACAAATTCACTTTGGTTCCAGTCGGATTTAATTTGTGTTTGTAAATCCAGCACCGGTTGGGCTTGAAAAGTCAAATCCAATACAATCCTAAACATAACTAACCTATGTTCGATTTGGTTATAACTTCTCACATGAGAAAATTACAATAGGTGATAAAACCGTACCATTTTAAAAAATTAAATAGTTGTTTTGTTCATTTTAAAAAATTAAATAATTAATGAATTACATTTTCAAAAACTCAGTTGTTAACATTATTTTATTTTTGTTTTCACTGTTTTAAAGTTGGTTAATACTATAGTTGTTATGAATATAATTAACCATTAATATATTATTCAAACTAGGTCAAGATCCAGTGATTTTGGTGGCAATTTTATTACTGATGAGTCATTCAAAACTGAAACAGTTAAGCCAAAGTTTGACATTTTATAATATATTAACAATAGTAGTATAAATAAATAAGTATATATATATACATATATAAATTTTTTAGCATTAGATAATTTAAAATTAAATTTTTCAGTATTTCTACCTATAAATATATATACATATTATATATTTATGTTGTGGTTTTCATCAATAATTGCATATATATATATATATATATATACATATATATATATATTTATTTATTTATTTATTTATTTATTTATTTTTGTGTGTGTACACAATTGCACATACAATAGGTATACATATATGTACAATTTGCACATATGATATACATATGATATTGTATATGTTAATATGAAGTATCTAAATTCAACCAACTTTATCTACTACATATTTACATTCACATGGTTTAAGGTTATTTGCCTCGTCGCTTGAACATGGTCACATTTCAACCAGCAGCATAAAAAGAGTAGAGCAAGAAAAAGTACGTTTTTACTGATGTTTTATTGATTATAATTGATTTAAAATGCTTAATAAATGTCCAGGCCCTACCGAAATGTGTCCCTTTTGAGGCAGGCTTTGAAAAGTTACCTCAGATACCTACAAAAATGAGCAAGAGGCAAACTAAAAAGCTGAAACAAGTCGGTTTATATTGAATGAAAATAATTATATAATCTGAAACAAGTCGGTTTATATTGAATGAAAATAATTATATAATTGTACTTTTGAGAATTCACTAAAAAGCACTATAAATTTTTTAACAATAATTATAATTATTATTATTACAAAATTTACTGGACCTTAGAGTTTATCATTGTTAATGTATAATATTGCTAAAAGGCAAATTAAAAAATTAATCGCCAACAGATAGAAAAATCAAAAACCAAAGGAAAAGGATGGTTTGATATGCCAGTTCAGGAAATGACAGAAGAAAAGTTGAATGACCTGAAGATTATTCAAATGAGGGGCATGCTTGACCCGAAACACTTTTATAAGAAAACTGATGCTAGACCTGGCGTGCTTCCGAAATTTTTTCAGGTAACTTCACTTATTATGTGCACATTAAATTTTCAAGTTCATTGTTTTTAAAAAACATTTTTGTGTTTCATTTTTGCGTTTCATGATGCTTAAGAGCTTATTAATAAAGTGGGAAAAGTTTTTTCAAATTGAGATACATTTTTGAGGTATTTTCTTATTTTTCTGGTGAGTGTGAAATCTAGAGTTTGATCTATAAATCGAAGGTTGGCGTAACCAAATAAATATGCTGTTATGTTGTGATACATACAAAATAAAACTAATTAATTTGACGTGACAGCTAATAATAGTTGTGTTGGCAACTGAGATGGTTCGGACGCTTAGAAGAAAGCTGGGGACAAGAACATGTGAAACCTTAATTTGAGCATTTTTAAAGATATGAGTGCCTGGACTGCCTTCTTGATTAAAACTGTAGTTTTGGCCCTGTGTCCAAAGAATTTGTTGATTGTATAGTTTATTTATTAATCATTATATGAGTTAATGCATAACACTTTTTTAATTTAGACTGGTACTGTGGTGGAAACATCTGCAGACTTCTACAGTGATCGAATTCCCAAGAAGGAAAGAAAAACTACCTTGGTGGATGAACTACTTCACGATGCCGAATTTAAAAGGTTATTTTATACTTTTTAAATTTTAAAAAGTTTACTCAGCGCTTAATTAACAATTTATGCAATGCTTTATTTTTTTAGTCAAGATTGACGTTTTCTTAAGTTCTGTTACGATAAGCTTTGTTTAAATGAAGTTTCGATGAAATGTTTCAAGTTTTCATGATTCATTGCCAATGTGTTTTGTATGAAATGATTATTTGCTAATGTTTCATGCTTATCTTTAATCTTTTCAGTTATAAGAAGCGAAAATACTCTGAGGTAACGTCAAAAACGTTCTCAAATAAAAGAAGAAAGCGTGTAAAAAAGTGACCTCTTTTAGTTTTAAATAATGAATTGCATTATTTGAACTATAGATTTAACACATTTTTTCTTATTGTTTGTTTTTGTTCATTACAGTTTTATTAAAATTTGTTTGTTCTGTGGTATCATTTTTATTGAGATTGATTAATATTAATAGCTAAGTATGCGTTCAATTGATTTATTTTGTAATTTTTGTAACACTTTTGGCAAATAATTATTAAATTACATGGTGCCATCTGCAAACTGCGTGAGCGTTTACACAAAACTACATTGAATTTGCTGTTAAAATGGACATATTAGTACCTTCGAAATATATATTCTTGCAGTATAATACCTAATTATTTTATGTGGCGGTAGACGAGAGGAGTTTTTTGAATGGTGCAGGTTGTAAGATATGAAGCTCATCATTAGCGGAATATAAAGGCGTGAGCCAAATAATATTTGATGGAGTTTTCATTGGAAAACTTACGCATCAACCTCAATTTCCTAGCTGGGGTCTAACCAGAAATTTAATATACTCAAACCTCAACTGGTTTTTATCAAATTTGAAATTAAAATTTGTTGTAGATTCACATAAATAGCTTTTGATATTTTTTAATCTTATTATTATTATTATTAGAGAATTTATATCCTAGCGCCCTTTTAAACTTTTCAAAGGCGCTGCTTAACTCATGTGGTTTAATTCATAAAAAGATGAGTTTCTATAGCTTTATACAGAATTGTTAAAGATTTAATCCAGGCTGACGATGGTGGTGTGGTAAATCATTTCAAACTGTTGGACCAGTTTCCTACAATCAATTGTGTTTTTGGTATCGTTAGCAGATTTCTCTACCTTAATGGTAGACTTTCTCTACCATTAAGGTAGAGAAAGTCACATCGTTTCAATATCTAGGGGATGTTCTAGATTGTACTGGAACAGTTGAAGCTGTCCTTCGAGCACGCATACATGCAGCCTGGAATAAATGGCATCTCCTTGCCTCTATATTGATGCGGCGTGACATCCCACTACCATTACGATCAAAACTTAATAAATCTGTGATACGTCCGGTGTTGTTATATGGTGCAGAAACATGGCCAATGACAACCAAACTGGAACAATAACTTCAACGAACCAACATGAAAATGCTTCGATGGATGCAACGAATTAGTCAGAAGGACCACATCAAATCTACCGAAATCCTGCGTCGTGCTGGTTTAGATGATATAAAGGACGAATGCCGGCAACAGCGTCTGCGGGGGTTTGGTCATGTCAAACGAAGTGGAAACAGTGCCATAACTTCTATTACAGATGTTGAAGTATCTGGCACACGTCCCAAAGGCCGTCCAAAGAAGTCCTGGTCGCAAACAATCGAGCATGACATGAAAGCTCTAAATTTAAATGAAATGGATACAACTGGTCGTCTAATTTGGCGCAAAAAATTGATGGCAAAGAAAACAATGTCCTACCTCGAGGGAACTGGGTTTCTGGACGCTAAACGAAGATTGATTGATTAATATATATATATATATATTGTCGGAAATTTTAAAATAATAATATGAATGAGCTGGAGGTTTTCAAAGGATGACAAAGCCCCAAGTTGGGCGCTAATTGTCGGAAAATTTAAAATAATAAATTAAAATGAATGAGGAGATTTTTAAATGATAACAATTAAAACAGCTGGTGATGTGAGGTAATCTCCTCCTCTATCTTTCTCAGGGAATTTTTGTATGGTCCGACAATAATTTTTGTGTATATTTTTATTGTGAGTTCGACCAGTCCTGTGTGGCACTGGGCTTTTTCGAATTATATGATTTTACTGAGTAACACACGAACGCGTAAAGAAAAATATTCGATAACAATTTTATTAATCGACGGAAGTAAATAAAAGGAATTGAACTAATGAACTCTATAATAATGTAAATGTCAATGAACAAACTGGAATACAGGAATTAGAACTCTTCTTGTTGGGTCTTCAACTTGGGATATGTTTCTTGCCGTTTAATCGTAAAACCTCGACGTGTGTACCCGATGGTGATGTCGATACAACTCCAAGAAATAAATAAAAAAATGAATCACAAAAATCGGAGCCTATGGAAATTGCAAGCTGCGTGTGAAACTATACCAATGAGTATAGAATCCAGCAAAGAACCCTAGGTCGACAAATAGCACAAGAAACAAAAGAAGGAGGCGTATTTGTTTTCACAGAACCCAAGGCCTGTTTTCACTGGGCCTGTCTGTGAGTCGGTCGGCTTTCGCACAACCCTGGCCTGTTTTCACTGGGCCGTCGAGTCTGATCGGCTTTCGCACGACCAACACAAGACAACAAGAGTCAGAACAACACTGGAAACAAATTGTGCGACTCTAGCACGCGTGCGAAACTATGCCAATGAGCATAGAGTCTCGTACCAAATCCACTTTTGAGAACTTAAGACGTTTCTGAAACTATGCCAATGAGCATAGAATCACGCATTAAGTCTCTTAGATACCAGAGTAGGCACTGATTACTCGAAGCTGCCTAACTGGTGAACCCAAGGCTGACTCTTTGAGAACTTAAAACGTTTCTGAAACTATGCCAATGAGCATAGAATCACGCGTTAAGTCTCTTAGGGACCAGAAGAGGCACTGATTATCCGAAGCTGCCTCACTAGTCAACCCAGTTTATAAGTCTTTTCACACCCTTCCTTATCAAGGCAAAATTAGATTTTGTTTCGGGTGTTTTAAAATATAAAAATTTACAAGGCATGTCCAATTAATCAGAAAAAGTATTAATTAAATTTTAAAATAATTTGTAATAATTTATGACGTCATCTAAATTGCAAAACAAAGAAAATCGTCATCACCTATCGAGTAAATTAACTTGCACCATGCCCCCTATCGAGTGAATTAATTTCGCGTTGAAAATTTTGCAGTATTTTTAGTCAGTATTATTTCATAATTCTGGACACTTAATTTTATATATTATGTTATATTTTTTTTTATATATTTTTTTATTTTTAATTAACAGTATTTTATAAATTCTACCGAATGTTTGGCGTTATTATGCTTGTAGTTCGTTTTTTCAATTTTTCTCACTAAAGTTTTTTGGTGAACGTTTAGTTTATTAAAATTCAAAATAAACTTATTTTCCCAATTCATGCTGCAAATAAGGCCATATTTTGATTCCGAATGAATCATCATCAGTGCTTTTTGCTGTTTATATAGGAAAATATTCGTTCACCAAAAAACTTTATTGAGAAAAATTGAAAAAAACGAGCTACAAACATATTAACGCCAAACATTCGGTAGAATTTACAGAATATTGTAAAAATTATGGTCTATTACCAACATATATATAGGTGCGGCCAAGCTGGTTTTGGGTGGTTTGTGGTTCGATCATGTTACGCCTATTTTGAATAGGTTGCACTGGTTGAGGGTTGAAAAACGTGTTTCCTTCAAGTTGGCAGTTTTGATGTTTAAATGTGTCAATAATACAGCACCTCCCTATCTCATCGATAGATTGGAATCATACAAATCTCATTTTTCAAAATATTCCTTCCGAGCGCAATTTATTTTTTATCCCGACCACAAAGTTGATGACGGGTTGCCGCAACTTTGCAGTTCTTGGTCCGGTTTTTTGGAATGGTTTATCTTCTTACTTACGTGACCCTAACCTATCATATTTACAATTTCGAAGTCAACTTAAAATTTATTTATTTGCACAATGAATGTCCGTCTTATTTGTCTATGATTTAGTAGCGCTTTAGAGATTCAACAATAAAAAAGCGCTGCATATAAATTTCCGTAATAATAATAATATATATATATATATTGTCGGAAATTTTGCAACTGGAGGTGAGGTAATCTCTTCCTCTATCTTTCTCAGGGAATTTTTTTATGGTCCGACAATAATTTTTTGTATATTTTTATCGTGAGTTCGACCAGTCCTGTGTGGCACTGGGCTTTTTCGAATTATATGATTTTACTAAGTAACACACGAACGCGTAAAGAAAAATATTCGATAACAATTTTATTAATCGACGGAAGTAAATGAAAATGAATTGAACTAAATGAACTCTAGAATAATGTAAAAAAAATAATGTCAATGAACAAACTGGAATACAGGAATTAGAACTTCTTCTTGTTGGGTCTTCGACTTGGGATATGTTTCTTGCAGTTTAATCGTACAACCTCGACGTGTGTGACCGATGGTGGCGTCGATACAACTCCGAGAAATAAATAAAATGAATGCAGAAAAATTACAAAAATCGGAGCCTATGGAAATTCCAAGCTGCGTGCGAAACTATACCAATGAGTATAGAATCCAGCGAAGAACCCTAGGTCCACAAATAGCACAACAAAAACAAAACAACGAGGCGGATTCGTTTTCACCTAATCCAAGGCCTGTTTTCACTGGGCCGTCAAGTCTGGTCGGCTTTCGCACAACCAAGGGCCTGTTTTCACTGGGCCTGTCAGTCAGTCGGTCGATCGGTCGGCTTTCGCACAACCCTGGCCTGTTTTCACTGGCCGTCGAGTCTGGTTGGCTTTCGCACAACCAACACAAAACAACAAGAGTCAGAACAACACTGGAAACAAATTGTGTGACTTTAGTACGCGTGCGAAACTATGCCAATGAGCATAGAGTCTCGTACCAAATCCACTTTTGAGAACTTAAGACGTTTCTGAAACTATGCCAATGAGCATAGAATATCGAATTAAGTCTCATAGAGACCAGAATAGGCACCGATTATTCGAAGCTGCCTAACTGGTGAACCCAAGGCGGACTCTTTTCGAGAACTTAAGACGTTTTCGTGCCAATGAGCATAGAATATCGAATTAAGTCTCATAGAGACCAGAATAGGCACCGATTATTAAAAACGTTATTATTATTATTATTGTTAACATTATTATTATCATCGCTGTGGTTCTTCTTGCTTCTTGTGATGATGTTCCATTTGCAAGTGTTATTTGCGCTGTGGGTTGTGGCGTTGGTATCTACAGTGTTGGCACTGTTGTTGTTGTTATTGTTGATGCTGTTGTTGTTGTTGGTGTTGTTGATGTTGTTGTTAGGGTTGTTAGGGTTGTCACTATTGATGATATTCCAATTTCAACTGATATTTGCGCTGTGGGTTGTAGCATTGGTATCTACAGTGTTGGCACTGTTGTTGTTGTTGTTATTGTTGATGTTGTTGTTGATGTTGTCGTTGGTGTTGTTGATGTTGTTGTTAAGGTTGTCACTATTGGTATGATTGTTGTTTACATCATCAATATTTTTTGTGATAACATTGTTATAATTATTGCTGTTGTCGTAATTGTTGTTGTTATAATTATAATGATTTTTTTTTTTTATTTAGTAGCCTATTTGAAGGCAGAATGTTGTTAGACTGTACTTGAATGTTCATGGAGGAATCAAAAATTCAACACTATTTTCAACATTGTTCAACTTTTTTATATTACTTTTTAATTTATTAATTTCAGAGAAATTAGACATTTTATTGTTGTTTTTTTTTAAATTTTTATTAAATAAATTTGCAAATAGCTATTTCGAGTTATAGATAACTCATCTTCAGTGCATTATATATAAGGCATGTAAGATATTTGATAAGAAGGAACAAGTAATTATTAATTTATATAAATTATTTAATTAAAACAGAAAACCAATAAAATAAATTTAATAACTATAAACAATATAAAACGCGATTTTTAAAATTTTAACGGCAAGATTGTTTATGTTATGGTTGTTGACGTAAATATCAACGCTCAGCCGAGAAGCGCGAATTAATTTATTTAATTAACTACATATTATTAATATTATTTTTACAATATTTAAAAACGTTATTATTACTATTATTGTTAACGTTATTATTATTATTATTATCATCGCTGTGGTTCTTCTTGCTTCTTGTGATGATGTTCCATTTGCCAGTGTTATTTGCGCTGTGGGTTGTGGCGTTGGTATCTACAGTGTTGGCACTGTTGTTGTTGTTGTTGATGTTGTTGTTGATGTTGTTGTTAGGGTTGTCACTATTGATGATGTTCCAATTGCAACTGATATTTGCGCTGTGGGTTGTAGCATTGGTATCTACAGTGTTGGCACTGTTGTTGTTGTTGTTATTGTTGATGTTGTTGTTGATGTTGTCGTTGGTGTTGTTGATGTTGTTGTTAAGGTTGTTACTTTTGGTATGATTGTTGTTTACATCATCAATATGTAATAGTTAAACTGTGTAATCTTTTACATGACGTATTTCTGGTCTATGTACGACGTTAGCCAGGCTACGGTTGCGTCGATTTTAGATTTGGACGTCGGGCATACTTTACCTGACTGGTTCAATTTACATCGAGATCTATGCATTGACTGGGCTCGTAATAACCTTGCACAAATAGGTAGCCCCGGACACATCGTTCAGATAAATGAAAGCTGCATTTCATCTGCAAAAAGATCGAGAAACCGAAATGCACGTCCAGTTAGAACACGCTGGGTTTTTGGAGGCATCGATACGCAAACAAAAGATGCCTTTCTGGTGGAAGTAAATAAACGAGATGCTGCCACGCTGTTGCCATTGATACAGCGACATGTTCTGCCCGGTTGGTTTCATAAAGTTTAATATTTTTAAATTCATTTTTGTTGGTTATGAAATATAGTTCGATTTTAATAATTTTAGGTACAACAGTTTGGACAGATCAATGAGCTGCTTATAACAGTATAACAGCCGTAACCGGTCTAGCCCACCAAACCGTAAATCACTCCATTACATTCCGGGCATACAAATGGAATGGAGAATTTGTGGCGATGCGCCAAACAAAAATATAATTATTAGACGATACTTCTGTTTTGTTATTTATATAAAAATACAATGTCCAAATTGAATTACAAATAGTTCTCATGTTTATAACATATTTTAAAAATAATAAATAAATAATGATATTAGAATTTTATTAAAAATTACAAATATAAATAAATGAAACGATTCGGTTAAAATAATCACAAATTGAAAAACAATTAAGCGCTTCGGCTGGTCATAAATATTAATGACAGGCGGAGCCAAATTTAATGTTTTCAATATTATTCTATGTAAACAACAGGAAGCGTGGTTTCATACTTATTTACCGAAAATGAGCTATATTCAGAACAATGGAGTCAAGGAAATCACCTCTAACCTTTTCAGCACTGTAAATTTTTATTTAATTGGAAAAGTCGACCCAAAGGTGAGTTTTGATAATTTTTTAATCACGCGTTTAATTAAACTTTTTACAATTTTTAAAAATAAAATATGATTTTATGCTCATTCTTTGTTAGTATTTAAAATTTATGTCTGTACATTTCAAAACTACTTCTATTCTGAGGTTTGTTGTTTGTAAGTAAATGATTTTGGTGTAAGTTCGAAATTTGAATAACATGAGTTTGGAATTGAAAAAAATTTTCTATGAAAATCTTGTTGTAATTTTTTAATCATAAGTCACTACTACTAATAATTAAAATGCTTAGTAAAGTTAGACTATTTTAGGCTATTACTATTATCTCTCTTCCTTGGAATGTTAATAACAATTAATGAATTCTTATAATAATTTATAATCTTTTTAGAAAGTTGGATCGATCTGTCTAGTATAGTTGGCACATCATTTAATGAGCAAAAATACATTTTAATTTAGCATGAAAATAAATTGATCCATACGGATCTGGCGTAATAGTTCAAAGGTTACACATTACAGGCACTTGGTCTTGCTGTTGCAGTGAATGGGTTTGAATACCAAAAGATCTTTACCTATCATATGCAATGTGTATGATGTGTGGTTTTCACGTATTTATATTAGGCTATGTGTGTTTATGGTTGATATATCTGAAGCAAGTGCAAAAAAGAAAATGACATTTAACTTTTTAATTTATGAAGCATATAGATGTGTCCTGATCATCACTAAAGATATAGGCATTTTTTTACATTTCAAACTCATAAAATGAGTTTGCATCCATATGTAAATTGTTCTTGAATGATTTGACTTTTCAGAAAATAAACAATTCCAAATCAATAAAATTTGAGAAGCAAACTTTTTTATGTAATTGAGTATATTATATGCTACATTCCTGATACCTACATATTTTCCATAATTTTTAATGGAACCATGAGAAAATTTTGAATGGTTGGTTGTTTTATTTTATACTGATGTGAAATTAATTGAAATAAAGGCTGAAAAGATGTTGCTGGATGGAGGTGCCCACAAGTTCCAATATTTGAGTGACATCCTCACTCACTGCATTGCTGAGAGTGTTGATGAAGAAGTGGTAGAGGCCAAAGAATTATATCAGTTGATTGTTGTCAAGGTCTGCTCTTTTCACATTTTCTTTTGTTTTGGTCGTTATGCTATTTATTGAACTATTATGCTGTTTGTGTTTGCGCGCCATTTTTTTTTATGTTGTTTGTTCCATGTTTTCATGTGTTTTGTTGTGTTTTTGATATGTTCCATGCTGCATCATTCATCTTGTTCAAAGTTTGTCCACTAAATTACTTTTTTCAATAAGCATGTAGTTATTTTGTTATTTTATTGAGATCATATCCTTCATTGTATATGTAATTGTTTGCTTTTTAACAGAGTTCTTGGATTCGTCTGTCTCTGCAGTGCAACACACTTTTGCCGTATGTTTTGAAACATTGTTCATCGATTGACTATTTTGTATTTTTTTCAATGACATTTTTTTTATATTATAATAATGAATTGTTGGACATTAGAACAAAACCGTTTGATGTTGATGCTAAGAATTTGCTGTCGGGTGTCACCGTTTGCCCTTCTCAAGTTTGCAGGAATTAATTTTTTTTACTTTTACTCAGTTAAACTTCCACAGTTTTATTGATGCCATTTTTTAATTTCATTTTTGTTGAGTAAGTAAGTTGTGTCAAATAAATATTTGCATTTAGTTTTTTATAGTAGGCATTAGAAATAAAAGGAAATTCATGATAGTTATGATGGGCAAATTGTTGATTCTCTCATTAAACAGAATTCATCTCTACTTTGCTAATTTTTTTATATGAAAATGTTTTTGGCAAGGCAGTTGAGTAGACATGACAACCTGCTGGCATGGGCATTGGTGACAGTTCATGGAGGCAAGTACACAACCAGGTTGAATCGAACAGTCACTCATCTGCTCACTAACATTTCCTCTGGGGTATCAACATTTCATCTCATTGTCTCACACCAATTTCTACATTCGTTATTTTCAGTTTTGTATTGAAATATGCATTTTTATTATAAGTATTTCAATTGTGTTTTATTTGTTCACTTGCAATGTACATTAGAAGCGTGTCATGAGAATGGGATCATAAGGTCATTGTTAAACAAGCAGAACAACAAATAAATATGTCCTACCTGGTAACATTTAAAGTGTCACAGTTGTTTATACAAACTGTTCTGTAGCATACGTGCAACTAAATTAATCTCTAGGACTCAATGTTAGGACTCCAAGATTTTGATGGCAATTGCTAATGTTTCACAAAAATTTGAAACTTCACACTCTGTGATTATCTGAAGAATAAGACTTATGTCCACGATCAAGCGTGCATATAACATAATATATAAAATGTATTACCTACAGAGCAAGTTCATGAAAGCCTCAAAAGTTGGCCTGCATGTTGTGTGTGTGCAGTGGTTGGTCGTGGTCATCCAGGAAGGCAAGTTGATTACTGAATCGGATTATCATCCAGATTTGTTCACGTGCTCCAGCCTTGCAACATATGATGGGGAGAGTTGCAAGAAAGATGTAGACACCTCAAACAACTGCAACAACACCACAAGTCGTCAACTGGAAAGTAGTGAAAGCAATTTAGGCATTGTTCCCCATAGCATGTCTCTCACTCAGTTGAATACAAATAGACTGTTGAGGTGTTTCATTTTTAAAACATTGATTTCTTTGTTTTTATAAGGAATTTTTTTATTATTATTTGAACAAATTATAAAAAAAACCAAATGATAAAATCAAAGGTCTTCGGACACCAGACTAGATAAACTTGAATAGGTCACCGTTCTAAAAAAAAAGATGAAAGAGATAATTCAAGTACCAAAATTGTATTTTAGTTTTAATTAAAAAATAGAATGATGCGATATGGCCTACGTTCGAATTGGAATTATGTAGGAAGGCATTCAGTGTCGTTGGCATTTGGAGGAGGATTGTTACGTTGTAATAATCATTAATTAGAGTTAAGATGATGATGAATTGTTGATTAGGTGAGTTAAAAATCGTTTAAATAAACTATTGAAAGTTTTAGAAACGATTGGTCTAAGTTCTATTTCAGTTTATGCTTTCATTCGCTTTATGTGGTTTTTAATTAGATTAAGAATGTGTGCATTTATTAAATTTAAAATTTTGTTATTCACAGTTCTGCCTCTACAGAAGTTCGCAACTATCCAGCACAACACAAGTCCTTGTCTTCTAATTCTTTTGTTAGATTTTTTGTTCTTTGTTGTTACTGATTGCTCAAAATATTTGGTTTGCTATATTTTATTCGAGCACTTATGATCCGATAATATCTGGTTACAATAACATTGCGAATGGTCTTGCACTGGCTGCATGTAGCTAGGCAACAAATTTTAATATTTTTTCAATGTTTTCATGCTGTTCTCCAAATTTAATTTATGAAATGCTTTTCCTATTGAGCATTTGAAGTGCATAAAATAACATGCCTGTACCGATTGATGTCTACAAATGCTGGTGACTGTTAGAAGTGTTGCAGACAAGACACTGTTCTTTTTAATGTGTTATTGATTGTTTTTGTGGGTTTTATAGATACTTTTAAAAAAATGGAACCAGATTAGGAAAGTGCCGAACAAAAGTTGTGATTGGCTGCCCACCACTGACCACAGTCACCTTCCAAGCATCTACCGTACTCATGAAAATCCAAATGACGGTAAGAAATGTGCCTCATCTTGTTTTCATCTTGCTCAGTGTTGAGTCCACGTGTGGGAGATCGGTGTTGTAATATTTGTTTATTTGAATATATTTAAGCTTGCTTTTGTTGAATGGATATTGATTTGATGACAAATTTATGTTTGTCACATTGTTGTTGGTTCTTAAAGAAAGTTTGTTTCATAAAAGTGATTACAGCTGTTATCTTGTTAAACAAAATGAATCCATACCCTTTGATGTACACGATGTTCATTATGCAAACGAGCAATTCACGAGACAAAAAATTTACTTAAAATTGAATTTAAGTGGTGCAGATGATGAATATATTTAAATTGTGTTTTTGTTGTCTGCTGTTGTTTGTTGTAATGTGTTTGTTTCTCACTCTATCATTTGCTTTAATGAAATGTTTGCTATATTGTGATATTCATTGCAGTTTGTTGCAGCTGGTATTTAATTCATTTTCAATATTTTATTTGGCATACTTATATGCGTTGTTGCAGTAACATGTTACCCCACAGTTAAACCAGAAAACTGTCTAGCCGGCTGTTGCTTTTTCATGGAAGATTGCAAGAAATATCTGACAGATAGTGAATTTAATTTATGGAAGCAGGTATGAAAGCCATGGAAAACAAGATTTCTTATTTGTTTTATTACTTTATTTTAAAATGAATTTCATAATTAACTTAAAACATTGTAAGCGATATGGTGTAATTACATTAACATCGATTGTTAGGTCATCAGGCAGTATCAGGGCAAGGTAATGGATGATTACGCAGATGAAGTCACTCATGTTTTGTGCGAGACACAAGATAGTCCATACTTCCACAAAGTAACTGCTTGCTTTTCATTATTGAATAAGATATGTACTCCAGCTTATTGCATGTATTGTAAAACTTGAAATATTATCTTCATAAATATGGCTCCAATGCATCGTTTGTGCTGTCACTGTTGCAATCACAAATAATCACCACAATGACAAAATGACGTTTCTAGGCACTAACAGATAAGAAGAGATTGGTGACATCGTATTGGCTGAACGACTGCCTCTCACAGCACAAGTTGATCGTTCCATGCAACTGCTTGCACATTCCACACATGAAGCCCATTGAAATGATATGCTCCAATCAAGTGTGCCACATACTTTTGTTATAATGAGGCATTCTTTGTAGTGTCCGTTTGTACCAGTCACATGCTATTGTGACCTTTATAATTTTTATGTTGAACAGCAAAAACTATTTATTAGATAATGATTCAGTTTGTTCAATGTGATTTTAAATGGCAGACTCTATGTATAACAAACTTTGATGGCTATGAGAGAGTTTTGGTGAAGAGGATGATCGTGATGCTGGGAGCCAAGTACACCGGCTTCCTAAACAGAAACAACTCCCTACTTGTGGCAAAAAGGTTGTGTTAGTTTGAGTCATGTTGTTTAGTTCGTTTGAGAAGAGCTCTTGAAGTTATTAGTTAAAGATAATACATAATAAGTTTTTATTTGTCCTGTAAATGAACCTAAGTGAACAAATATTGTGCTGTCATTGTTTTTCTTTCAATGCTCAACAACTTCCCATGCATTGCAGTCCTTCCTTATTTTTATTAAGTGCTCTAGTTTTGAATAACATGCAGGGCTTCGGGGAAAAAGTATCAAAAAGCTTTGGAGTGGAATGTGCCAGTTGTGAATGCAAGGTGGATCAGTGAGCTGATGTTTGGAAACTTGAAGGCCCTCAAACAACCTCTCCTGCCAAGGTTGGTTTGCTCATTTCATACAAATCCATTTATTCCTATGTTCGTTCATTTGTTCATTCATCCGTTCATACATTCGTTCATCTTTCTTTTTTTAACTAATTTTAATTTGGTTGTAATATTATAAGCATTTTCACAAATTGACTACTAACTTTTGTTGTCACATCTTCTGAATTGAACAAAGAATTGATTGATTTTATATTCCAACTCTGGCATCGTTTATAAACGTGAAACGTTTCATTTCAAAATGAGGAATGTTTGATTAGTACAGCTATCATAATGATGAGGAATCTTCCTACTATCGTAGCACATCGTAAATTAATTTATTTAATGGAAATGGTGATGAATGCAGGTTCACAAGTTTCGCGGACGACCACCCACTGGCCCTGCCCAGCAACATAACCTCGCATCTCCTCGGTATTTCTATGTTCATTTTTGAAACTCACATCAAATCATTTAATTTTAGTGCATATGTATGTGTATATGATATATATATATATATATCATGTATGTTTTAGGCGCTCAACCAACCCTCAAACAGTGTTCATTCTAGGTTTCGCTTGACATGTATATATATATATATATATATATATATATATATAGCTTTTGTTTAACGGATTATGGCTTTGGAATAGCCTCCCGCATTTTTTGAGGCGATTTGGTCAAACCCTTCCCCAATTCAAAAAACAATTGAAGTCATGCCTTATTCTTCTGTAGCAAATTTGACATATTTTGAAGAGCGCCGATGAGAGCATTTCTAATTGGCGCTATATAAATAAACTTATAACATTAATAATAATAATAATATGCAATTATTGATGAAAATCACAGCATGTTCGGCATTAGTTAACTTCCAATTTAACTTTTCGATTTTTTTAACGGTTGACAGTTATTGCAATGTAAGATTTCAACATTGTAGTTCAAGATTTGTCTAGTTTTTTTGTTTTGTGTTTCTCTTTCATGTGAACGTCTTCTCTTGTGATGAATAACAACTGCAGAAAACAACCAGAATCGATTATGGATCATAGTCATCTAATATATTTGTTCAAATGTAATATTGGTGAGTGTGGGCACCATAATTCCGAATATATTGGTATGACAACGACCAAGTTACCGAGAAGACTCGCGATGTACGTACAAACTGGCGCTATAAAGAATCACATAAAGCAGGTAAAAGACCATAATTAATGCATTATCTATCTAAATAAAACTATCCAACGCTAGAAATTCGGTAGATTTCATTAATTTCTGCATATTCGACATTAGTTAACTTCCTTTTAAAATTTTCGATTTTTTTAATGGCTGATCGTTAATCATTTACAAGTTTCTTGACTTCGAAACCAAAATATTTGTTTATTTTGTGATAGAACAAAAAAAGTTTTATTTGGTATTCCTATACCATCTTTGGTGTTTGAATTAATACGTTGTGTGTGGCCACCATAATTCCAAATATATTGGTTTGACGACGACCAAGCTATCGAGAAGACTTACGATGCACCTACAAACTGGTGCTATAAAGAATCACATGAAAGAGAAACACAAAACTAAAATTACTAAACAAATCTTGGACCACAATGTTGAAATCTTACATTACAATAACAACCATTATAATTTACGACTAGCCGAATCAATACTCATAGAATAAAGACATCCAATAATAAATATTCAACAACGTGCAACCTGTGGCATTACACTCTTCATTAAGCACATATTAATTATATCTGTTAAGTAGACAATAAAACAATCACTATATTTTTTGAATACATGCGTCGTTATTGAGTCCAGTGAGCATGACTTTGTAGGTGAAGAATTAACAACTTTAGATATCTGTTCTTCACTGGAAACGATTCGAATCGAAACATAATATTTTTGGTATTTGTAGAAATAACTGGAGAATTAAAACATTCTGTCGACTTTTCGGTCACTTTTAATATGTTAGCAAAAATTTTTTTTAAATCATCGGCGCTGTGCATTGAACCAACTTCATTTTCAACACTTGTCTCTTTTCCCAATAATTTGTTGATCGTTTGTCATAAGTACTTGGAATTATTTTTGAATTTACTTGTTTTAGCAAACCAAAAACTAGTTCGTTTCGCTGAGTAACAAACATTCCTTTGTTTCATTGCCAATACGCAATCAACTTTATCATTATTACAACCAGTAGCTCTGAAACTTCTTTATTTATTTGACACATTTGCTTAGCCTTTTTTCAGTCACTGTCAAACCACGGTGTAGTCGGGACATGCTTTCATCGAACTTCATGAAGTGGAGCAACATCGTCAGCTATTTTTAAAAGCTCTTCATTAAATATTTTAAAACCCAAATCAACATCATCCTGATCATAATGTTTTGAGATAGGTGAGCACCTAAAAAGCTCAGTTAAACGTTTTTTATTCACTCGTTTTCAGGATCTGATCCACGGTTTCTTGAAAATGACTGGAGTCGGATTGATTAAAAATACCAGTTACTAAACCATGATCTGAATAGATACCAGATGGATACACCAATACATCTTTTAACAAAAAAACATCTGATGTAGCAATCAAATCTAGGGTACCACCAAGCACATGGGTAGACTGATTTATTCTATTGACTAGATAAAAACCAGAAAAACATCAACAAGGGCTGTTGCATATGTGAATTTTTGCCGCGCGGCGGAAATTTTTTTTTGTTCGAATACCAGCAAACACCGCCGCCAGTCTAGGCAGTCTCGCTTTGGCCGGGACTCGCCTCACAAATGTTTATCTCCGAGTTGGAAAACACGGGCCGGGCGGAAGTGCTTTCGCGCCCTGCTTGAGTCGGTCAATCCGGCCTTACTAACCGCTGACAAGTCTTCTTCATACATGTTTTATATATTGAACAAGACAAACAAAAGCTAACTGAAATAAATTTATTACAAACAAGAACGAAAATAAACTTACTCTGCAAAATAAATGTTTCTAAAATGTTCCAAACTAAATAATATACTAAATTAAAATGGCAACAGAACACAATAACTAAATTCAGAAAAATAAACCCGCAGAACAATATCACCAATTACCAAAATGACCAAAACCTAACACGCCAGGAACCGAAGTACCTCCAAAAACTACACCATCAAAAACTAACTCGAAAACTTCGAAAAACTCTACCTCAAACAATTGTCCCAAAATGCTTATATATTCATTCACATGAGCAATCATACACTCTCAAATATATTCACTATGCCATACTATTCACATAAAACCCATTCACATAACATTCCACCACCAGCATGCATACCAGACCACTCCATACAACAAGCACGCCAAACCAGCCAACACACCTACATGAAACGCGCCAAAAAAACTTCACACATATATATCTGACGGATTTTCTACGTATGTTGAAGTCACCTGCAACTACGATATGCAACATAAATGTGTGATTTGTTCTAAAACTAAAATTAATTTTTCGAAAAATAATTTAGCGGGAGGAGCAAAATCTGGCCTATAAATCACAAGAAAAATACCGAAGTTTTCTATTGTGTCAATTTAAAACATATCGCTTCAAATGTAATTCTCACTGGCAATGGAATATTTACACATTTAACCCAGTTGTTCTCAGAGTATTTTTTTACAGAAATTTAAACATTATTATGAACATTCTGGTCAAGTTAAGTTCCAGAAATAGATAAAATTATGGTGTCACTAGTCATTGAGAAAACAGCTGTCCTACATATAGGACATTGGGAACACATACACACACAAACAAACATCAGCATTCTCAAAGGTTCATATCCTCTGAAATCTAATGAAACTTCATAACAGATAATGAAATCAAAAAATAAAAGCAATTAATTTGTCTATTTATTGTGGTAGTCAATGAAACACTTCACGTTGCATTTGAAGCAATGGACACAACATTGTTGTCGTTCCATTTGCACACAACGATGTTAGCATTTTTAGCTAGTTGAAAGTCGTATGATCCTCGATTATTTTTCTTCATAGTTTTTGTGTCCTGGATAGGACACTCTGACGTTCTGTTTTCTCGAATAGTTCCTGTTGCCTTCAAATTCCTTTGTGAAAGTTCTGACAGCAACGGTATCGACGTAAAAAAGTTGTCGAAAAAGATATGCTATGGGTAGTCACCCATCCTTGACAGTACATCAGTATATTGAAGTATAACACCTGCTCCAAGGCCTAGATCTTTGTATTTGGGGTCAATCCTTGTACTCACACCTAGATATGGCTCGATCCAATTCACATAACCAAGTCGTGTAGAACCAACCCATAACTTGAATCCATACCTAATTGGTTTCCCTCTTATAAATTGCTTGCAACCATGCCGACCAAAGTAAGGTACCATGGCCTCACCAACACAGTGATTTTCTTCATGAGGGGCATATGTTTGGAATTTAATGTTCAGGGCTTCAAAAAGAGGATGTACTTTTGCGAACTTGTCGTCTTTGTTTATGCTGTCATTATCAACAACGTGAAGACATGACATGATATCGTCAAAACGATTCCTAGTCATGGCTGCGGAGACTATGGCATTGTGCGTGTCTTCATACTTCTGCCAGTACATTCGACGGCGTGGCACATCAACATAACCACTCAAAAGGAGAATTCCTATGAAGCATTTCAGCTCTTCCACGGTCATGTCAAGGTTCCTGTGAGCTGCATAATGATTGGTGTTGTTAACGAAAAGACTGCACAAATCCATGTCAAAAAATCTGAGAAAAAGGTCATCAATTTTAACTATGTCTTTAGTTACCCATGCCCTTGAGGTAATTGCTGATTCAGCTAGGTCACTTTTATTCCAGGTGTACACCTTCATTTTTTTTGGGTGGCTTTCAACTGGATGTAGTTGGCTGACTCTCATCATCGTTGACATCATAATTATTATCATCATCAGATAATTCTTTTCTTCCAGCATCAGCACGTAACAGACTCGCAGGGAGATTATTGATTGTTAGAATGTCTTCGTCTCCCGAATCTTTGTCCGTAATGTCTCCACATGCATTTTCAGGAGGTTGTAAAAAAATAACACCAGATGATGGCACAGAATCTGGACTATCTTCCAGCATCATCATAACTTCGTGGAGCGTGTATTTTCTGCAAAATTATAATTATGTTATTATGTTTAGAGATGGGAAAGAACCCACATTTTTGGGTTCTTGTTCGGTTCGGGTTCTTAGAAGATATGAGTTCGGTTCTGTTCGGGTTCTTGTCAATTTTTTTTGGGGGGGTTCTAGTTCGGTTCTAGTTCTTTCAAAATATGGGTTCGGTTCTGTTCGAGTTCTAGTAACGAAATTTGATAAAAAACAACATACAACACAATACAGTATTACTATTACAATTTATATAGCGTTTTCAAAAGTTTTCTCAAAGCGCTCAACAAATAATATGAAAAAATGTAATAAAAACAAAAATAAGCAAGAAAGCCAGAGAAAATATCTTTCAAAACATTTCAAATGTCCATGTTGTATTTGAGAAAAAGAAGCATTTCAAGTGTTGTAGTATTCATTCGACAACGTCTGTCATTTAGCAAAAGTCCACATGTTGAAAATATGCGTTCACTGGGCGTGCTAGTTGCTGGTATTGCCAATATTTTTTTTGCGAGTAATGCCATCTTTGGGAACTTTTTGTCATTCATTCTCCAGTATGAAAGCACATTTACAGTGTCGATTATCTGGTCAAGATACCCTGTCAGTTCATCCTGCGAAATGGACACAGTTCTTGTCATCTGTCCTGACAGGAATGTCTCATCTGTGGCATTGAAATCTAAATTAGGTCTTTTTGAACTTCTCTCACCTTAAAATAATCAAAGCACAAACATTTCTTTACATAACCAAAATTACTTATTTAACATATAATAAATTAAAACATTAGATGAAATTGAAACCTGTTGCTTTTCTAGAGTCTAGTTTGGTAATTTCATTATCACTTTCAGTACTACAGTCATTATGACCATCATCCTCATTTGGTAACACTTGTTGTTGGATATCCATGCGAATATCAGAATATATTGAGTTTTTTTCTTCTAAGGTAACAAATGACAAATGTTTAAATGCAGGACAGAGGACTGTTGCAGTTTTATGTATAGGATGTAAGGTATATTTTTCTTTCAAGGATTTTTCAAATGCTGATTTAACTTCACAAACCACTTTACTATCCATTGTTTTACGTTTGCAAGATGACAACAGACGATCAAGCATAGGCCAGACAAGGTGAATTGTTGGCTCCTTGGATTTAGATAGCATAACGGTCGCTCCATGAAAGTCGTGCAGAAAATCAACTATAACTTGCATATCTGCTTTATTCAAATTCGATAAATGCTCAAGTTTTTCATACTGCTTTTCATTTTCCAAGATAGTCACAACATCCTCGTATTCATTGAGCAAAGATTGCAACATAAAATATTGGCTTTTCCAGCGTGTAGACACATCCTGTTTTAAAGTGTGCTTTAGTTCCTTATTATGGCCAGAATGTTTAAAATAACCAACAACTTCTCTAGCGATTTTTATCATTTGTACACATTCACCGACATAATCAGACTTCAAAGCATTCTCAACAACTAGGTTGAGGTTGTGAGCAGCACAACTTATCCGTACATCATTCCTATAAGCAGCTTTCATATTGGAACCATTATTGGTTACAAACACAATGTCACATTTTGATTCATCTCCCAGAAAAGATGCCAGCAGCCAATTAGTTTTAGTTTTGACAGCTAATGCTTTTTTGGCTTCTGGGAATTCGTACAATCCGAGGCACTTTTCAATCAAATGAAACTTTGATGTGATGAAGTGCACAGTAAAACCTTGGTATGAATTTTTTACCATATCTTCACACCAATGGTCAGTTGTAATAGCAAGATATTTCAATTTTTTCAGCATATCTTTTATTACATCCTTACATACATTGTATTCAGCTGTAAGATGTGCCCCAGCAAGCGTTGTTCTGTCATATAAAATGTCTTCAATGTTCAAAACTCCATAGCGTGCACCTATGTTTATAAAATGTTGTGCTATAGACCTGAAGCCTGAGTCCTCCACTACACTAAATGGCTGTAGGTCTTGTGCAATCATAAACAAACATTTTTTGGACGTTTCTTTCCGCACCTGAATAAAAAAAATACATATTCGAAAATGTAATTCACATTAACATCAACTAAGTCAAATTACTTATTTTATAATTTGTCGTCAATTGAAAATTAACCAGGGAAAGTCATGACGCATATAAGATAAGTTTATTTATAACTTACTATGCTATCGCATAGCATTAGTATTTTATTCTATACTATTAAATAGTTCATTAGCCTCTGATCTAGACATACCTTACAATATTCAATATATAAGTTATATACTAATTACTAACCTTTTCTGGAATATTCTTTGACTGAACAAACGATTTTATGGTCGACTGTTTGCTACCTGGTGTAATTAAGAGTTTCGATTTGACGTGGGATTCATGATGGCGATTCAATGTTTGAGTAGTTCCAACTGGTACAGACAAAACCATGCTACACACTTCACATATTCTAAACGTCTTTAAAACTTCACCATCAACTTTAGCAGCCCAAAAATTTCCTTGCCAATGCTTGCTTTTTGTCCAAACTGGTTCTACTTTTTCAAATTTTGTAACATCGTCACATTTCATTAGTTTTTCAATCTCTTCCTTTTTTATTCTATCGCACGTGGCCATCTTGTTTATAATAAATGTTCCGATTAAGATTAAAAGTAAGATTAGGGATGTGCGTAAGCATAGAATAAAATTTTAAAATTTTACTTTAATATATCTTTGGAAATGTGCATATATGTAAATAATTTATTTTCGGCCCGTTTCATTTTTAAACTCTAAAAGTTAAATAATTAAATAATTGATTGGGAAAGAACTTTGAAATATGGGTTCTGTATCGGTTCGAGTTCTTAGCTAACCTGAGTTCGGTTCTGTTCCAGTTCTTTGAAAAAAAAAATAATGACGGTTCGGGTTCTAGTTCGGTTCTTCAAAAATATGGGTTCTAGTTCGGTTCTTTCGAACTGGGTTCGGGTTCTTTCCCATCTCTAATTATGTTATGTTTAATTATTAATACTGATTCCATGCCTCCTTTTCATGGTGCACATTTGGTATAATTTTGTTGCTGTTGCAGCCCCGGTCTCCTCCATTTTTAGTAAATGGGTTTTGGATTTTAACCTGCTGTCGATAGTTGTTCCCAGATGTAATCTAATACCTTCTCCACCCCTTGCACTTCGAATGACGAGTCACTATCATCTAATGTAGAATATGGAAGGCAGGGTTAGTTGGATCCTATTCGTAATATTTGGCATTTAAATGTGTTCAATTTTAACCTTCAGTTGTTGAACCAGTCCACCATGTTCCCAATATTTTTTAAGAAAATGTTTTGTCTTCACTTTTCATCGCTTTAAACATTTTTGAGTCATCAACAAAGAGCAGTATGTTATCACTAACTAAGGCAATATCATTTATGTAACTCTGTAACAACTATATATATAGTGTTGAAGCTATACAACTAATACTTATTAAGCAAAAGTGCTTCTAGGATATTAATTTATATAGTTAAATGATGATGATGATGATAATGATGATAATAATAATACTAATAATTATTCTGAAAAATTTTATCACCACAGCTAAAAAATAAAATTACTTAATATTTTAAAAATATTGATTTGCAACAGAAGGTTGGAAAACTGCCATTAAAGTGGCACAAGAAGATTTGATGGTCAGTAATGGTTCAAGTTATCAATATCATTCTTGTATGAGTAACTGACTGTTGTAGTTTTAACTGTTGTGGTTTTAATTCAGGATGATGGATTTATATTTTGTGCAATGAATCTTAACAATTTCTAGTCCTGATGTCTTTGATTTTCTTGATGTTCGTATGAGATTTTATACCATTTAAAATAAATTTCTTTATATTTTGAGCTTTTTTCAAGTTCATAGATATTATTAAAACAAGCACAGGCAGTTGCATGAACGTAATGTTGCAGGCGGCCCACTTCCTATCAACAAAACTGAAGCATCGCTACATCGCAAAACCAGAACCATCCTGTCACAGCTCCTACCCACCTCAGCAGCTACCTCAGTCGAATAAACGACACTATACCAGATCAATGCAATCTCTGCCCTCACCCCGCACACTACTCAACACATATTCAATTGCCCTGCTAACACTACCACCCTTATTACTGCCGACCTTTTGGCGGACTCGATTCCTAAACATATAAATAGCAACCTACGGGCGAACTACAACAAAAACATAATGTTGCAGTGATCAGGACCCGGTATTTTAATTCAAGCAGTCTTACATGATCATCTACTTGCACCATTTTTTTTGCATGAATTGAGGTAGGAAATAATGCGTAGAGCTAATGTAGCACATCTGTAATCAGGGTCATCTTTTTATTACTCTGCTCTTTAACCATTCCGACTTGTAATGGGAATGGTTGTCACTGTAGAAACTCAAGTAGTTTTTTTTTGTATGGACACAGTGACGTTTTATTTTCTTAAATTCCTTGTTGAATTTTTGTAAACATAATTTCACAAATGTTCATTCATTTTACCTCTACCACTATAACAAAAAAGAACAACGGCAAAATATTTTCACCACAGTTAAAAGATAACATTACCAGTTACGAATGGAAGATGAAGAAAAGGAAAAGTGATGCTCTGAACGAAGATGAACTTAGTTATAAAATTAGGTTAGTCCGTCTTTTTGTGTCTATGCAACTGTCTATCCATCTTTCCGCATTTTATTTTTTCTATTTGTCCGTGTGTTTGTCTGTTCATCTGTCAGTTCGTCCCTCTATTTATCAATCTATCGGTTCTTCTATCTGTTTGTCTGTCTGACGTCTTTCTGTCCATCCAGAAACCTTGTTTATCAGTTTGTTTGAGCCAAGATGCAACAAACAGTTCAAGTTCCATTTTCTCTGTATATGTTTGGTGTATGGGTTTTATTATGTGAAATAAATTTATTAATTGAATTTTAATAAATTTATTAATTGATTTTTATACGTTTAAAAATTTTTCAGAATTTCTGACGTGAATGTTGTTATCACTGGATATTCAAAGGATTACTCTTCCTACCTATCTAAAGTTCGTTACTCATCAATGCTGCATTATTAACAATTTTATTGTTATTAGACTTCTTAACTTCAACTGTTGTGTACTGTTCCATGAATTAGGAAATTTTAGTTTCTTCCTGTTATTTTTTTATTTTTTTAAAGCATTGTAGAGACCTCATAGCTTTCAGTGCAGATACAATATATTTACAACAACGTAAATATTTGTAGTTCAAATATTCCTTTATGTCAGACCAACTTTTCTGTCAGAACAATGACAGCCTGAACAGGATTTGTCCTGCTCTTAATAAATTTGCTTTTTTAAACATTATCTGATGTTCGTATATATTTCAATCACTACCGAACGTTTTAAAAATTACTTATTTTTCGATCTATGTATTAATGACAATGTTAGGAATAACTATGCCACTTTCTGTTTAATGTTTTCTTTTTTTGTGTTGACTTTTTTATCTGTCTGCCAATTGCCTAGCTTTATAAGATTTCTTTTTTTCTTCCTGATTGGCTAAGTGGTCCGTTGTGGCCCTCTGATCAGTTGTGATAAATAAAAAAAAAATTATTAGAGATTTAATGCGTTCATCACCAAACCAACCCGAATTAAATGTTACAAAATCAAATGTTTCTGTAGAGGTTGAGACTATTAATCAGAGCACGATTCGCTCTTCCTTGATGGCTTGATGTCTCAAATGAACAGATTAGAGCTCTTAAATGCTAGTTTAGTTCGTCATACAGGATCACAAACTTGTATTGCATAATATTTCCCTACCTTTGCCGACTGGTTCTTTGTCTGGTCTAAATAAACTGAAAAAAATTCCTATTTCATTTATTAGAACTGTAGATTGAGGTATTTAATTTGAAAATTTGTTAGAGTGTGTTTTCTCAACCAATGTTTTTTTTGGGCAAACTTTATCGTTAAATATTTTTGGTAGTGCAAAATAAACTTTGAATTTTTTACTTGAATTTGAACAGAATTTATTCGGCAAAAGCACCGGAGATCAAGATACATATGTATGTGTAGGCAACCTTAACTAATACTGTGCATAGAAATCACAAGACAATACAAAGTGAAATTCATAATTTTTTAAAGAATAAACAAAATTAAATGGAAATATTCAACAAAGGATAATTTAATAAATAAAAATTGAAATTAGCATGTCGTAAAATGGTTAGACAATATGATTGATGCTTTAAAAAGACCCAACGAAGGAGATGCCTTAGCATTATCCGGTAAGGAATCCCAAAGACGCATTGATGAAGATAACGCTGAGTTGAGGAAAAAACTAGATCTTGGCTTAAAGAAGTAGAAATCAGGGTGATGACGTGAGATTTCACGTCTTGTAATCTTAAAAGCAGTAAGTTCATTATAGAGCGATTGACAGAAATTTAATTTATATATTTTAAAGAAAAGTAAAAGACAACCAATATATAACTGATTAATACTACGAATATTAGCTAAATGAAAATATGGAGTAATATGATCAAATTTATGTAAATTAAAATAAATACGAATGAAAAAGTTCTGAGCTAATGTCAATAAATGAAGACTACATTTAGGAGCTGAACCCCAAATAGAAATGCAGTAAGTCAAATAAGGTAAAATGAGAGAGTTATATAGAGTTAACATAGTGAACTTCGAAAATTTAAACCATAAGCGATAAATTAAACCTAATTTTTTGATAATTTACATGAAACAAGCTTTATGTGAGATAACCAAGATAAGTGCTATGAAATATTAATACCCAAAAACTTAACATAATGAACTCTTTTAACTGTACAATCATTTAAAACCATAATTGGAAAAACAATGTCAATTCAAATTGTTGATAAATGCTACTTATTGGTAACATTGTCGGCGTTTTCATTTTAATCTACTTCATCTTATTTTTCGTTTTTTAAAACATGGTTATTTTTCGTTAGTTTGTTGGGAAATAAATGTTTCAACTATTTTTATTTTGTTTATTATTAATTTAAAAAATGAAAGAATTGGAACTTTAAAAAACGAAATGGATATATTATATCGATGGGACAGGAAACGTTGAAGCTGGGAGGTCAGCTGGTGGGCATGGGAGTGCATTGTACGCACCTGGTCGCTCCCAAGATACTGAGGACTGTCAAGTTCCTCACCTGCGTCAGTCATGCCAGCTATGTCGTCACGTCACAGTGGCTCGAAAACTCTATTGCTGCTTCTCAGTTCCTTGGTTGGTTGATCGAATGGTTGATTGATGGTAGATCGATTGATTGGTTAATGTGGTTGTTAGGGGATTAGTATTACTGTGAAATATCTAGAATATGCATAATTGCTCAAGGTGTGTCAACATATTTTTAGTATTTATAAAATTGTTTCAATCAAAAATTATTTTGTTGGTTATAGGACTCATAATTTTGTAATTTTTAGCAACATCAAAAATCTTATCTATGTACGTTTGGTGCCAGTTTGTAAAACTTATTTTTTTGTGAAGACCCATGCAGCTTTTTGCTGAAAGATGAAGAGGTGGAACAGAAATTAAACTTTGATTTTCAAAAAAATATCAAACATCGTTCTTCGGGCAAGCTCTTCCAGGTGAGAGAATTCATGCATCTGTCGTTTTAATAGTCCACATTTTAGTTCTTAAAACTTGTGTTGGCAAAAAATTAAAAGACCCAAACAATAATTATGTTTTTTCAACAATATTAGTTTAAATATTCCAATTAGTACCAATGGTTCTACATTCTTTTTTAAAAATTATACACATAAAATAAACAGGGCTTGCAGATGTACATGACGCCAAACATCTCACCTCCCGTTTCATTTCTGAGGGAACTTGTAAAGTGCCATGGTGGACAGGTCATCACTCATCCTCCTGATGCTGTACACCCAGTTAGTGAACTTTACTAAGGAATCATATCAGACAGATTAGGAATCTACTGCTGCATAACATTTCATGATTGGTATCTCTGCAAGGCTGAATGAATTTTATTTGCTACCAGATCTTTGTTTGCTTCTTCCCTTATATGATCTGATCAGATCATATAAGATCTTTTCCCTCACTGTCCACTAGGGTTGAAAACAATACTCAAAATTGTATTCCCAATACCGGTTTTTAAATGTATCGCAGACAAGACACTGATACCGATATTAATTTTTTGAAGTATTGCCTGCAATACTATACTAATAATTTTTCAATTTTTAAACAATGCTACACGAAAGCAGAACTATTATTATATCAATATTTAGCCTCTTGTCTTGAGTTTTTACAAATATTGACGGCATTACAAACACCTCCTACATTAAATAAATATTTGGTCTCAGCATTCCTGTCTAATAAATGTAGATGATCGCATCACTTATTGGAAATAAAATTAGTGGCGTAGTGAGTTTGTTAATGATAACACCAATTATTACTGCTGTTTTATCATTACAGAACAATTCAAAAATGCAAATAAATTATTTGACAAAATTATCAAATTTTCACCGAACACAAAATAGAACGTGATTAATTTGCAAAAACAATTATTCAAATGGACAACGGCAATCCTTTTTATGTAACGAGGGTTCACTCAACCACGACACTCTTTTTTCAAGAATGATGGCGTTTTTTTTATCAACTCGCTTTCGACTGACGGTTCCCTAGCTGTTATTAATTTTAAACTTTATTGCGGATTTTAGTTTGAGGGGTGTTTCTAATTTTAATAAAAATTATTTTTCTGTTTTTCTGTAAATTTATTTTCAATTAAAGTTAACTTGTTTCAATTTATTCTCTATTTTATTCATACTTAATTACAATATTGGTACTGGGTATGACATAAAACTGCATCCACGCTGCCTTGCGTGCTTTTGAGCGAAAGGCTAGGCCCACCGCTTATAACTGGTGGTTGTCGTCAGGATGGGTGTCCGGATGTAAAAACTTTTCCCCAAATTATTCTTATGCCATCACAAAGAAAAATAACGGCCCCTAGTCCCCAGCAGGCCTTAAGTGGTCAAGGGGTGCCAAGAATCCCTGGGAAGTATGCAATAGCGGAGGGATGTTGCAGAAAAATTCAGAATGGCTCCTCTATGGTACTTAGACTTGGAACGCTCAATGTTGGATCACTGACTGGCCGCAGCATGGAAATCGCAGAAATGCTTGAGCGTAGAAGGATTGACATCTGCTGCGCTTCAGGAAACCCAATGGAAATCGATGGTGTCTGTCATGTCAACTCAGACAAAGAAAAATATAAACTATTCTAGAATGGTCAAAAAACGGCCAAAAATGGTGTTGGAATTTTTGAATCAAGCTTCGCATAGAAAAGCAAACATTGATTAATTTTTCTGCATACGCACCACAGACAGGCGAATCAGAAGAGATGAAAAATGATTTCTGGACTGCATTCTCTGACACCATCTCAATAATACCAAAATCTGAAACAATCTTGATTGGAGGCGATCTCAATGGCCACGTTGGAGAGAAAACCGATGGTTTTGACAACGTACATGGCGGTTTTGGCTATGGAAAACGGAATGAAGATGGTAACCGCATCCTTGAGTTTGCTGAAAGTCACAGGTCTTGTTTACTGAACACATATTTTAGAAAGAGGTCAGAACATCTCATAACATACAAAAGTGGACCATCAGCCACGCAAATTGATTTCTTCGCTGTCAAGCAACAACATCGAAGGCTATTCAAAAACGTCAAAGTTATACCTGGCGAATCATGTGTCGCCCAACATAGACTCCTTGTGGCAGACCTGGTTGTCGAACTGTCAAAACATAAGTCTAAACAAATGCCTCGGAGGATCAAAACGTGGAAGCTGAAAAGCAATATTCATCGAGAAAAATTTCAACAGACTGTCGCCACACAGTTAGACCACCAATCGCAAGCCAGTACAGATTGGAGTACATACAAAACCGTTTTAATGAACGCTGCAACTACAGTTTGTGGGAAAACTGGTACAAAACGTCAGCATGAACGTGGCACTTGGTGGTGGAATGACAGTGTACAAAATGCAATAGCTGANAAGAAAGTTGCATACAAGCAATGGCAAANATCANAGTCTGTTGGTGACCATAAATTTTTAAAGAAAGTTGCATACAAGCAATGGCAAGTCCCGCTATACAAAGGCAAAGGTGATCCATTGAACTGGATTAACGTCGTGCATCACAATCGGAAATTATCAATTTGGTTTTCTAGCGGGGAAATCAACAATTGATGCAATTCACATCCTTCGGCAACTGCAAGAGAAGTACCTCGCAAAGCATCAACAACTATCACATATTTTTGTAGACCTTGAAAAAGCATTTGATCGAGTTCCCCGTGAAGCAATCAGGTGGAGTCTACGTCGACAACTCATTCCAGAATATCTTTTTCGACTTGTGATGGAAATGTATACGAATACTAAGACTCTTGTCAGCACAACGGTTGGAAACACAGATGCATTTGACATCGGCGTTGGAGTTCACCAAGGCTCGATTCTCAGTCCACTTTTATTTATAATTGTGATGGAAGAAATCACAAAACCGATACGCACTGGTGACATTTGGAATCTAGTATATGCTGATGATATCGTTTTAACAGCCACGTCTGAGCAGGATACAGCACAGATGTTTGAAGATTGGAACACCAGACTGGCCGAACATTGATTCAAAGTCAACATCAGCAAAACCAAAGCAATGAACACTAGTGAACCCATCCAACCCACAGCTACTGGACGATGGCCCTGTTCAGTTTGTAAAGCTGGTGTAGGTAACAATTCAATCAAGTGTCAGCAGTGTAACCAGTGGTGTCACAAACGTTGTTCAAAAATAATTGGTACTTTATCTAAAGTGTCCAATTTTGTTTGTCCTGCTTGCATCAATCCAGAACAACAAATTCAAAAAGCCCTTTTTTTGAAGCCATTAAAATAGAGAAAATCACATCGTTTCAATATCTAGGGGATGTTCTGGATTGTACTGGAACAGCTGAAGCTGCCGTTCGAGCACGCATACGTGCAGCCTGGAATAAATGACATCTCCTTGCCTCTATATTGATGCGGCGTGACATCCCACTACCACTACGATCAAGATTTTTAAATCTGTGATATGTCCGGTGTTGTTATATGGTGTAGAAACATGGCCAATGACAACCAAACTGGAACAACAACTTCAACGAACCGACATGAAAATGCTCCAATGGATGCAACGAATTAGTCTGAAGGACCAATTAAATCTACCGAAATCCTGCGTCGTGTTGTTTTAGATGATATAAAGGACGAATGCCGGCAACACCGTCTTGGTCATGTCAAACGAAGTGGAAACAGTGCCATACTTCTGTTGAAGTACCTGGCACACGTCCCAAACGCCGTCCAAAGAAGTCCTGGTCGCAAACAATCGAGCAAGACATGAAAGCTCTAAATTTAAATGAAATGGATACAACTGATCGTCTAATTTGGCGCAAAAAGTTGATGGCAAAGAAAACAACGTCCTACCTCGGGAAACCGGGTCTCTGGACGCAAAACGAAGATTGATTGATCGATTTTTCTGTTTTTCCGTGAAAGAAAGTTCAAATTTTATTATCCTCATACAAAAAAATATATTTTATTAATTAAAAAGTAATTTTTAAAGAGATATTTGTCCCGGCAAGCAGCTTTTAAACATTTAAAAGCTTGAACGCGTGCTTAAAAGTTGTAGAAAAGTCTCTTTTCAATATAAATTTAATACTAATATTATATTATTAATATTTAATCTTCTAGTCTCGTGTTTAAAACGAAATCCAAGAATAAAATAAAACAAATTAAAAAACTCAAACTTTTTTATCGAATTTAGAAGAATAAAAAAATTTTAAAGTTGATCGATCAAATAGCATTTCCTTTGCAAAATAAGTATTAGACTATATAAATTGGTCATAATAACAATATGGAATTAAAGAAACTTGGAATTTTTTTGGAAAGAAGAGTAACATCCCAAGTTTTTGTATATTCCAAATTTTTATTAAAACGTATGATTATCGCTTATAGAACCTTTTATATTTATGGCTCTATATATTTTCTAATAAGTGTTATCAAGTTAGTAAATGTTATATAATCTATCAAATTTAAAATTTTTTATTCTTTCAAGTTCAATTAAAAAAACTTTACAAGTTTTTTTAATTTGTTTTATTTTCAAGAATGATAGAGTATTGTGGCATTATTCAAAACATTAATCTAAATATCAAGTAAACTTTATTTTTTCACCAGGCACCTTCACTGATTATTATAACTTGTGAGAAAGATGTTCACCTTCTTGCCGATGCACTAAAAACAAGTAAACAAAACTGATAATCATTCGTTCACCACTGCTGTTGTTTATTCGATAAATCAAGATTTAACGTTTATTTGCTTCAGCAAAACTAACAAAAATTGTATTAAAATGTCAAAGGCCTAAACACACTCTGCGTATATGAATACGCGTGAAAACCACGCATCACACACATTGCATGTGATAGGCTGGGATCTTTTTGAATTCAAACCCAGTCATTGCAATAATTATTCGTAATAGTTAGATGATGGTTCGAACAAACCAGTAAAAAGCCATCACTGGCCGAGTCAAAATTTGATATTTATCGTTGCGTTGCTTTATTTTGTTTATCATCCAATTATGATCTCATGAAAGTTTTTAATTATCATTTCAAACAGATTTATACAACTCCGAATTCTTAATTAACGCGATCATAAAGCAGCAGGTTGACTTCTCGACATTTGGCGGCATCTGATTTGTTGTTAGTCACCTCAGTAGGGGCCTGAACTGTTGCATTTTTAGTTTATTTTTTCATTCATGTTCTTAAATTTTAAAAATCCTATAAACAATGTTATGCATGTATGTTGTTAATTCTAATATAAATATTTAAAAATATTAAGGCATTAAATGACGATCGTATGCGATGATCAGATTAGTCTAAAAACCTAAATGAAGTGGCGGACCATGGATGAAGATAAGATTGAAGATTTTGTGTATAATATAGTAATAAAATAAAGTAAACTGGAAAATTTTGGATCACTGCATTGCCCACATTGTGTTGAATAGGAAGTCGACGGTTCCGAATCCAGGCATTCGGAAGATTCGGATCCGCGGATCCAAAGTTGAGGATCCACCATTCTACGGGCCCAAAATCAATCTAATGAACGAAAAAAAAATTCAATTACCGGAAAAAGTTAATTTAAATATCAACAACGATTATGTAATAAACACTTATAGATGTACAAACTCATTGGTGTCTTCGCGATTTGTTTCGGCTAGAACTACCGCAAGTTTATTATTCACAAAAACAATATTTTTGTAAACTTTTCGTGTTGAAATCCATCATCAAGATTCAGATCCAGATACCACGGATCTCAAGTTCTTGGAATTGTTCCATTCCTAGTGTTTTGTAAATTATTTTTGTCATCTGAAAATTTAATAAACTTGAGCTCAGTTGCACTGATACTGTATTAAGCATCCATTTTGACAAATATAACTTACTCAAATTTTAATAATGTAAAATGTCTCTGAATGATGGGATATTTTTAATTTAAAAATTAAAATTTTGAGTTTTATAGTTGCAAAAGCCAACACAACCCTTATTACGCCTTTTTGGAGCCAATATAGGCTTTCCTATACACATAAAGCCCGCATTGGGCCCACAAAACACCCAGGCTGGTAATCATTTGCCCATGAAGCCCATATTGGACCCATAACCTCATGTTCACATGGGGAATTTGAGCGTTTCCTCAAATTAATTTTCTGACAGAAGTATTGGTAAAACTGAGTAGGTACTTTTCTTCAAAACATCCACTGTAAAAAATGTAACGGCTTTCCTTTCGGCAAATGTGAACTGAACTGCCCAATTCACTCTATATAATTGAAACGCAAGGTTGGAACATGTTTTAATTCAAAACGTAGGTAACCTTATTGGTATGGTGTTCGCTTTTGTCTGAGTTGTGATTTGTTGCTGCCGATATACCGTTAAAAATCCACTATCCCTATCAAAACATTTCGCTATTATCTTAATTTCTTTACGGAGAAACATTTGAAATTCATAACATTTTAAGTGACCGAATTATGAAATCATTGTGGGAGATAAAATTATGCCTTGTCAGATGAATGAAAGTTGACGAAAAAAAGGACAATTTATATTGAAATCGATTTTGAATTTGCGTCTCCAGAAATTGGAGATTATTAGTGTCGAAACATACTGTCAGTCAATTAGGAATGCGTTGCCTCCGATAAGATTCGGATTCGTCATATCTAATTTTACAAATTTAGTAAAAACGGATCAATCGATGGTTGACGAACTCTAGATAATTAAATTTTGATTGTAAGGTTTAAATAAATTGAAACTTGGTTTATACCATAGTTCAATGCTCTCACAACTATAAATTATCATTAGGACGTAAAGTACTAGTGACTAGACGATTTAAAAAATTATCCAACAATGCATAAACAATTATAAATGTTTATAAAAATTTTATACAAAATTAAACTTAAAAATATCAGGATGAGATTAAACAGTATTGAAATAACAATTTAATAATATCAAATTGACATTGTTGACATATAGGTCAAAGTTATGTTAGCCAGAATTCGAGCTCTTCTAGTGGTTGACGAACCTCAAAAAATTTATGGTAGACAAATATAGAAAAACTGGATTTGAATTGCTTTAAATTGTGAAAGGTTAACGAAATCGAAATGCTTCTCCTGTTTACTTTTTTAATGCTGCGCATAATAGCTACTCCACCAATATTAAATAATGTTATAGTTTTTGTATCGATTTTAGCAAGAAGTAGAATACAACCATTTTCAATTTTGAAATAGCGGATTCGAATCAATAATCTGATAAAAAATTCATAGATTCATCTCATTTCTATTGCCAACTAAATTATATTTTATTGTTTAAAATACAAAATTTGGTTGATACAACTCATAATTACCTGCAAAAAATTGCTGTTGGAATTTCCACTTCAGATAAAATTTAAAAAATAGGGAAGACACGGCATAAATTCTGACATATCTTGCTGGTGTAATGTTTTTATTATATATATTAAGATATGTAATTTATATAACATCATTCTGGAATGTTAAGTAATTTGGTAAAGTGGACACAAAATTGTGGTAACAAATAAAATTTAAACAAATTAATTGAGTTATTCAGAATTTTTTTCTGTGTGCGACAGATTTTCAACGAGTCTCAGATCAATTTTTATTACCAGATTTTATTTGATAAATTTTCAATTTCAAGAGATTTTATTGCTCCGAAACCATGGAAAAATTCGGTAAACAAATTTTTCTTTAAAACTAAAAAGTTATAAAGACATTAAAAAATGTTTTTGTCCACAAGCGCGGTATCATTTTTCAAGTTTTATATTTTAGGTTTTACCAATTATTTTAGATAAATAAATGTTATCAATTTTTAAAATGTCGCATTGTAATCAAATCATGTTGAAAAAGTCTTTGGGTAACATGATGAACCTCAACATGTTTCAGTCCACAGCCTCTTTAAATAATATCTTTGTACCATGGCTTGTAATTTTCTACATCGTCTTCTTTGAACTTGATAAAAAAATTTCCAAAACATTTAAACAAATTAATAAATAATTACAAAAAAATTAATTTGTTTAAAAATGGTCCAAACCAAATGCGTGAATTGGTCCGTACAGGCCATTCTGATTCGCTCACAGGTTACAGGGGAGTCAAGTCTGAACCATTCATTTGTTAGGCCTGCATCATGACGAGCAGATGTAATTGCATGGCGAATAGCTCCTACAACGCTAACTGCCAACAGCAGAGGTGGCTCACCGATTGCCTGAATTTTTAAAACCAAATTCTGTTATTAGTAGTTGTTTTGTTTCATGGTTATAATGGTTACCAGAATGTTTAAAAATTTCATCAACGACCTTCGACGAATACACGGCTTTAAGATTTTTTGAATTCTTCAACAGAGTGACATTAAAAACACGTGGGGTGTCGCATAGGGTCGGTATTTTATAAACTCCTGGTCCATTCATTAACAACCTGCCATCAGCAGAATATTTCAATTCCTCCATCGTGTACAAACCAAACCCTTGAACGAAAGCCCCTTCAATCTGACCGACGTCAATTGCCGGGTTTAAACTTTTACCCACATCCATCACGATGTCTGTTCGCAGGACCTTCAAATGTTTATTTCACTTTACAATAGTACCATCCTTAACAGATGTTCAGGTACAAACCTGCAGAGCACCAGTCAGGCAATCGATTTCTACGACTGAACAAGCTGCACCAACTGAGTAGTAGTGGTACATCAGACCCTTGTTACTCTTGATGTCGTGTGAGTTGAACGCTTTTCTAGATGGTGATGTAATTATCATCAATGTAATTATTTTTGATGTTGATAATTATTTCATGTTGATGTAAATTAGTATGATGTAAATTATACTACTTAGTATAATTAATATAATTAGAATACTTATTTACATTAATTTGCTGATATGATTATAATTGATGATTTAGTTACTAATGATGTGATTATAGTTAAATTATTAAATTGTTTCAAATTTATAGATAGCCATTATAGCCATAAAAGGGCATAAACCAACAATTTGCTGTTTGTTTTTTGAAGACTTAGAAAAGCAAATAATTCCTTTTGTTACGTGGCATTCTATGATCCTTTTAACCTAAGTGTGAACCAACCAAGACAGCACACATTACACATTTTTAAAAAAGATTTAAAGTTATTAATCATAGAAGAAACTATATTTAAATTAGCTAAAATAAATTCAAGCGGAGGGCTAGAATCACTAGCTTTGCCTCTGACCATAAAATGTCGTAAAACCAGAACTTTAATAATTTTATATTTTAATAGTTTAATAATTTTGTTTTACCTCATAATTATGTAAAAGGAGAACGATTTTCTATTTTGTTTTTGTTAGGGTAAAGAGATAGTGCCTGATCTGAATTTACGTTGTGGTGATCGTGTTCGAATTCGAAAAATTTCTCCCTACCTAACAAGAAAATGACCCTTGATTCACTACTATCAAATCGTTGTTGATTGCTCTGGCTAAGTGATGCTTGAAAAAGAAAAACCATCATCATCAATGATTTGATGCATTTTCAAAAGCTCACGCCTCGTGTTCGTAACTGCGCGTTTGCCCCTGTGGCGGGAATTTATAGCGTTTGTGGCAATAAATAGAAAATAATGCTGATGAAAAAATAAATTTGTCATTTATTTATGAAAAGTTTATTATTATAACTTATAAAATCCTGTAGCTGTTAACTGAACACGATCGATGAAAGCTCTTTCGATCCACGATTTCCATCCTCCCTCTGGTTTAGATTTCATGTAGGGCTCCAATCTTTTCATTATTTTCTCACAGGCCAACTAACACGACACGTTTAAAAATAATAATTAATAAACCAAATGTACGTTGTTCGTTATTGGACATTCAAGTAAATCGAGTCAATTTTAGTTTTTTTTAAAGTTACTGTTCTACAACAAAACGTGATATATGAGATTAAAAAACTTGCAAACCACGACTGCCATGCCGTACAGATCCGAACTTGAACTGGCTGCAGTGGGACTGGAGTTGGGAATGATGTGGGAATTGGTTTCATGGATGTGGACAAGGGATGTACTGATTTGCAAAACTTCTGCTGCAACCTTAAAAAATTGTTTGGTGTTTTTCTAAATTGCTGAAATCTTGCTTCTTTAAAAAGCAAATGTTTAAATTTATGTTATTTAATGAGTCATTCATCTTTGTGACAGTACGAGTGAAAGTTGCTTAATGGGACCTCATCGGGATTTGGTTTTTATCCAAAGTCAACTCTATCTTTCAAGCAAGTTTTTTTATCTTTCGAACAAATTGTTTCCCATACTAGACACAGTCTTCCCAGGCAATGGTTCATTTTTTAATGAAACCTGATATGGATTCAAATAGGAAACAACTGCAACCAACGTAGTAGCAGGGTTAAAATTTCCCTGAATATAATTTAAGAGGATTAATGGCTTCTTTAAAAAAATTTTTTTAATAAACTTATTGGATCATTAAAATATATATATTAATACTTTATATGTAATTAAATATTTATTGTACTTAATCGAGATGCATGCTTTAATCTTAAGTAACTTATTTGAAATTTTCAATGCATTCACCTACTTACGTGGGTCATTGCAATGTTTATGATATACTGAAATAGTTTCAGTTCAATTATTTGGTAAGTTATATAGAGATTTTGTTGAATGGAGCTTAGCTGAATCTTCCATTCTAGAGGTCTCTTGGCTACGCCTCTGTTAGCAATTCAATATTATAAATGTTGATATGTGATATGCAGTTGACTATTTTGAAGATGTTTGGATTGGAAGACTAGGAAAACAGAACCAACACGTCGCGACCCGCTTTTCGCTTTTATGGAACTGCAGACAAGACCAACAGCTTAATGAAGAAATCTTGTCAGTGGCCATTAATGAATTGTTTGCGTAGAACTACGAACAACTTTAATTTACAAGTTTCATTAATCATAACAAATTTGTTTAATTTGACATAACATTAACTTTACGATTCTATGGTTTTGTATTAAAAATGTAAAAATACTTCTAAATAAATTACATTCAAGTTTTGGTAAATTATGAATTTTTTTCAATAAATTTCATTTGCATCAACTAACAAAATACCTACTTACGATTTGCTGTATTTTTATTGGGCACGCTTTTGTTACTTACGACCTTATTGCCTTGCACCTTTTTTGTTTTGAGCCCGTTTTGTCCGTGGTTTTTTGGCTACGAAATTTTAGCCGCGCATATTTTGGCGGAGAGCCACTAGGACCACATCGATATACTTACTTGGATCATTTTAGTGTGTAAACCTTGTCCCATTTCCGTACCCCCGTGAGATAGCAAAACCGATCCGTCTCTGTAAACATTAATCAGTGCACCTGCCTGTGTTTAAATAATGGTAAAAAATTGAAAGTCTTACAAAACTGAAATTTAATAGTGTATTGATAACTTTCATTTAAAATATAATTTTATGTCTATGCCGTCCAAAATAATTAGCCAGACATTTTGTTTCATCGACATTTACCACCAATCGACCACAACTGCAAAACATTTGAAAATGAACCTGGTGGTAGAAGGACAAAGGGAAGCCGATGCCATACTTCATGCCGTTCAAACTGAGGCCTCTCTTCACCCACCTGCTCGTTCTTCGTAATTCATGAAACCATTTTAATATTGCTTTTTTAGGCAGTATTGTTTCAAAGCAACTCGAAAGATATTTTAAAATACACATTGCATTGACTGTAGAAAGTGTAGATCATTAAACAAACTGTAAAAAGACCTTTAAGTTATTCTTTTGCTTTTATAATCCAATTATTGTTATTGCTGGGGAGTATTGTAAAATTACGTTGCCATTTTAAACTTATATGCAAACATTACTTAAAAACCTCCGTTAAATTCTTACTTTTAAGAAAATGTGCTGGTCAATAATTTATTTAAAAAATTGGATAACCAATTTTTAAAGCCAGAATAAATACCAAACACATGTTTTCGTGATCGGGCTAATTCAAACAACGCAAAAATTTGTGAGATCAAATTTCAAAAACTTAATTAACGTTAAATAGCTGCAGCTTTTACCAACCAGCCATTCAAAATTATCCGACACAAAGTTAATACTTAATGTTAACCCTTAAATATACCAATAAACAAATGTCAATAACCCAATTTAATTTATATATTTATTCATCTTTTTATTACAATTCTTTCTTTAATATTTTTCGGCGGCACCTACACGCAGTGGATGTAAATATACGCGAAGCAACGCATCGCGCAAATTGCATGTGATAGGCGGGGATTTCGTTGGAAGAGAATCTGGTCACAGCAACACCAGCAACACCGCCTGGCACTTTACCATTACATCATCGTGCCACCGAATAATTTTTGTTATATAAGTTTTAATCAGCAACGTAATTAAATGTTAATAATGAAGTGGCTCGCTCAAACCGCCACGACAACGTTCCAACAAACCTATTAAACTCTTCAATTTCTTTCAACTGTTTATCATACTGAGAGCCATCCTTTGTTAGGAACCAACAATTTCGTAAATTTTTTTCACAGTCCACTAACTGATTGTACATGGTGCTTTCTCCACATTTGTACATATTCAGCTCCCGGACCTGTGGTGCATACGCATTATACAAATCCTAAAAATGTTTAACTTATCAAAAGCAAACGAATAAATTAAAACAGTAATCCCTCCTAAACTTGGATATAGCAAGCAGGGTATATCTACACTATCAATATCAGCATCTATGATATATATCTTCATTTCTATTACTACTTATTATTATTATTACTATTATTAACATTAAACAGTACAAAATCGACCACAACTTCAAAATAAATGTTATTAATGTTCAAAATAAGAGCAACGATACACCACATTACCGCAAGAGAGGGCAGTTTTAAATGGCAGGCGACGTGTTCCATGATGGTCTCGCAAATGAAGGTGGCCTGTGGAGCTCCCGATCCCCTGAAGACGGTGTTGGAGGGCAGGTTTGTCCTGCACATGAACCTGTCGATGAGGATGTCCCTGAAGTGGTACATGTTGTCCAACTGGAAGGTCACCTTCTCCACTACCTGGTTCATCAAAGGTTAAAGTCAATCATCTCAACCGCATTTGATTGGTCCACATTTGGGAGATGACCAAATTTTGGAATTAATTTATGCAAAAAAATCTTATAGTGCATATTATAATAGTGAAGACACGCAGATCTTTTGCAGCTGAAACGCAGAACTGTGTAAATGAAATTGCAAAAATTACATAAAAATTATCATCATCATCATCCTCCCCCTCCTCCTCATCATCATAACTATCAAGTATATCAAAAATCAAGCAGAGGTAACAATATCATCCATTATCAGCATAAACATCCCATAAACAAAAACTAAACCAAAGTGATCAACAACTTCATATCAACTGCACCACACCACTAGTAACATCAAATTACATATTTTTGTGATTTGTATTTGTAGCAACATATCTAATGAAAAGGCAACAACAATATTATTTTTATTATTCTTCAAAAAATGAAAATATGACAGACGCAGAATCTGTTGCAACATGCAAGTCAATATTATAAAATGATAACGGAATAATTACGGAAAATAAATAACGGAGCAAGAATGTCTAGGCATGGAAAATAGTGATTTAAAAAACAAACAAATAAATTAATTAATTAATTAACTAATAAATAAATTAAATAACTAATATGCAACGTCAACACAATGACACAAGCAATGAAAACACAGAGCGACATCGACTCGCCGCGTCAGAGGCATCTTTGGAGCATCCACAGTTGGCGTAGAGACTGATGACCAGTGCCTCTATGTGACCGTCTTTTCTGAAACCTACCTTGTAAATATTCACCAACCTCAACCAAATCTTCATCAACAACAACAAAAACAACACGTTGTTCTTATAAAAACTGGCTTGTAATGATTTACAGCCACATTTTCGATAAACCATCATAGAATTAATTCAACCCAAACCAATCTCTACATGACATCCCCAACAACTTTTAAGTCCCACCCTGCACCAGCTCACTCATATAATTTGGTGTCGATGCTGATATTAAACTACGGAACACTGAGAGTACGTGAACACGAGATTCAACATTTAACATCAACGCAATTTAAATATTGGGATGATGATGAGTATTAATAATGTTACTATTGTTATTATTATTGTGGTAATAAAGTATGTTGTGCTTACTTTATATTTAGCAAGGAAGGGATGTCTGCCGCCGGTGACCATCATATCCTCATCTCTGTCCAGCGTGCATCGTATGGGCCGGTTGAACCTGGTCGGTTGTTGGTTGGTTGGCCGGTCGGTCGGTCAGTCGGTTAATTGTTTGATTGGTAGGTGGGTTGGTTGGTAGATTGCTTGGTTGTTTGGTTTGTAGGTTGATTGTTTTGTTTGTAGGTTGGTTGGTGGAAACAATGGAACGAATTGAAATCACAACATCGTACAAGAACCGCATAGTAATCTCGCCCTGTTTAATTCAATGGTTCATGTAGCGTAAATGTTTGTTTGTAATAATATGATCTTGGTTTTGTTATATGTATAACTGTTCAAAATTATGTTCCTATGGTTCATAATTTTATAGTTTTTGGTTTTTATCGTTGGATTCACTTTTTATATACATTTCCTTATTGTCGTCGTCAATTAATTTTCTCCATTTCGCAATTGTTTTACTACATAAGTTGATAAGTTATTTCAACAAATTCACTTGTTTTTTAGTGGAGTTTTAGATCGTATTTTTCAAAAATAGTGATTAAATTTTTCATTTAAAAACCCAAGATCTCGGACAAACAATTTTTTGATGAAATATCGAATGATTTTCGTCTGTAAAGACCTTTGTATACCATCCAGTTGTTGACACATGCTTAAGGCAACTTAAAACTAAATTTGAATCTCTTCACGCAATTGTCAATTTATTTTCATTTTTGTTTTTTTTTCAGCAGCACTTGATAGACGTCAGAAGCAAATATGGAACGTCAAGTCATGAAATTTACAACAGTGTACAAGACTGGTGCAACATCCGATCTTCTAAGATAGGTTCTTGCCTACAGATCATGTGCTAGATCATTCATCCGAGAAGCAAAGAATCCGGAAAATGTCTTAAACAGCATTATTTAATCTGAACTAAATACCTGCTTTCCTGATGTAATCATCTACTATTGCCTTTTTCTGCTGACTTTACTAGTGACCACTGCAAGTGACGAACTAATTTTTTGAACCGGTGACCCTCGCACTCAAGCTACACCATTGACAACAACAAAAAAAACCTCAACAACCAACAATATCATCAGTACAACAGCAATCAACAATCAACAACTACAACAACCAACAATGCCATTTAACACACTACAGTAGCACAAACTTCTTAGCGGCAACAATGGAAGGTAGTGAGATGAGGAGTGGTTTGTTTTCCTTGCCACCAAATCCTCCACCTAGCGAACAATGGACGGTAGAAAAATGACTTATCGTCAACATTGCCAAAAATTTTAATATTTGTTTTGTGGTTATACAATCGGATAAGCGTAGCAAATTGAAAAACTGAATGTGTTGATATTGAGAAATTACAAAAATAAAATTTTTATCTCTATAAACTAAATAGTTTAAGTTTAAAAAACTGACAAATTAAATAAAATTATTTGTTAAATAAAATGTTTAGAATTATTTTCAGTTGGCAAAAGGTAAGTTTCAACGCCGGCAACTGAATAATGTGACGCCATATCATGACCAACTTACTATGACGTACACTCAAGATGAATCACATGACATAACATCACCTACCCATCACTGGTGATTGGTTCTTGAGATGTGGGTTAAAAGTAAATGCATGCTTCCAAGTGTTTCATGTTAAAAATTGGAGGTCAAAAGCGGTTCTTAACATATGGTTTAATGGGACAAGGAGGAGTAGAGATGCCCCCAACTGAGGCAAAAAAACTATTGATGTTGGTATACTTATAGACTCCAAACTGATTTTCAAGAATCATTTTTTTCAGACTGCTAGAAAAGCAAACAGAATGATTAGTTTGCTAAAACGTAACTTCAAAAATGCACGCTTCTTTATAAATCTATGTTTAGGTCAATTCTGGAGTATGGTGTGGTTGCATGGTACCCTTTTAAAAATGCCAAATTAAACACTTATAAAGGGTTCAGAAACGAGCATCCAAAATATCACTCTAATGCAGAGGATTAAAAAACGAGGAGAGGACAGGTTAAAGCTTTTGGGTGGTCTTTACTGGTTTACAGACGCAGAAGAGGAAACATGATATCAACTTATCAATTGCTTAAAATGGACTGCTGGATGTCGATATCAACAAGACTACGCACCTACAATGGCGACAGAGGAAATGGTATGAAGTTGATTAAGTGGACTTGCAGAAAAGATGTCAGAAAGTATTACTTCACCAACAGAATAGAAAATGACTGGAATTGCCTACATGAAGATGGGCTCAAATCAGCCAATATTACTAGCTTCAAGATAGTAGATAAATTTTGGCAGAGTGAATTTATATTTGGAAGTAAAGATGTCAAATTAAAAAACTTTCAACCAAACATTTTACTTAATAAATTATTTATTCTTAATAACTGATTGCGTTATGGTGGCGAGAGGCTTTGCCTGCGCTGCAAATTTATTCTATTCTATCATGCCAACCAATCACATTGAATCACGTGACATAACATAGCTACCTACCTATCCTTCCAACTCGGACCATAACTTTGCTGGATGACACTCCCAATACATCGGCAGCCACTCTCTGCAACAAATAGCATAAAAATATTTAGCTCACAAATGTTTTATTTTTGTTTTTTATTGATTGGGCATTTTTTTATAAACTGAGACTGCCAAACGAATTAAACGTTGTTGATGATTTTAGCAAACAACGTTGTAGTACTTCAATCTAAACTATCGACATGATTTAATTTGAACAAGTGAAGCCTTATTATTATTATTATCAAGCCATCATAATTTTCACTACACCAATGATTAACACCATCTCAGGAATTAAATCATCTTGAACCATTTCACACATCTGGGTTTGCATCATTTCAAATAACTTCACACATGGGATGAACATTAATATCGTCATCGAGTATGCATCGATTTCCATGATTTATCATGTATTACAATTATTTATATTATTTGTTATAATTGATGATTAGTTATAATTTTATTAATGATCAACGATATCATTAATCATCAATCCACACACATAAAACGGAACATCATCCATCCACACACTTGCACCTGAACATCCTGAGGATTTTGAGTGGAGCTCCAAACTTCGACGCCCCCATCTTCGAGAGGAACTACGAGACAAGCGTTTGTTTCTAAGTAGAAATGTTCCTGGCCACCCAAACTAACTTCCCCTTCGATGACAAACTCACACGTCTTCATCACAGTTAGGGGATAACCATTTTGAAAGGGCGGTAAGGAACCCAAATACGAGTTATTTTCAATAGCTTCCTTTATTTGTATATTAAAAAGAGAAATTAGAATAATATTAATTTTCAGTATTTTATTTATCATTACAACATAAACAACAACTTGCTAAATTAAATAACAAAAAAGCACGTACATCCAGAAAAAAATTTTTTACCTTTATTGACAAAATGGGTGCAAGTTCTTCATATTGAACTTTGACCTTTTTAACTGCCCTCCTGCCTTCAATTTTTGTGCGCGAAAGTACGCCGAGTATTGGTTGGTGTTGGGTTATGACCTGCCAACATGAAATGTATCCATTTTAAGAGTTTAATTATTAAACAATAAAAAATTCAACTTCCCAACCTGAAACTGTAATGACTTTGAATTTGTAAAGTTTTTTTTGGCCAAACAAGTCAATTTTATTTTAATTTGGAGTAAAAATGTGATATGCAACACACACGCGCGCGCGCGCGCACACACACACAGCAGACTCAAACACACAACACACACAATTGTTGTTTATGTTATTATCACTGCTTAAATCTTGTTTCCATTATTAGTTTAACAAACCTTAATTGTGTAAAAAACATATAAACAAAACGAACGGTATTTGAACTTGTGATATCATCATCTTTGAAAATTTTTGCATACAAATTGATGCCATTGACATCATGGAACTCCATCACACCAGCTACTCCATCGCATTTCAAAACTTCAGAGTAATCAATTTCGAGAATTTTCGCATGAGCTTTTGTGCTCAGGACGAATGAAAGAAAGAGTTCATCTGGATGGCAAAGCAATATGGGGGTGCGTTACTTGGGTTGAGCGTGTTACTCTTGGTTGTTTAATGATGAATATTTGCATGTGTAAAAAAAGATAACCTTTATAACGAGGCATGTCATCAACGTAGACAGCTTCTCCTGTGCAGTGTTTCAAAGCAGATGAGTGCATCACAGGCTGTCCTACAATGCTCAATCCACCGACCTGTTTCTTTTCAAAAGTTCTGTTTATGTTGCAGTTGTTACTGGTTGTTGAATAGCTGCTGCTGTTGTTATTGTTGTCGTTGTTGTTGTTGCTAGCGTTCAAAGATGGCGGAAGAACAGGTTTATCGAACTCGGCGTTATATTCGTTGTCGTCATCAACGTTCATGAAAGTTTCCAGCGTGTAGGGGCGACGCGGAGAACTCCAACCACCTTCACCTTCCTCCTCATCATCGTACACTTGGATGGCACGATGCTTGCTGTGATGCTTTCTCTCCAACATCACGTTGTCGTATTTTAACTTTTCACTCAGCATAACTGATCTGAAGGTTTCTGGCTAAAAATAAAAAAATAAGCACGTAAAATGGAATGAGGCTAATAATGAAACTCACGTAATCATTTTTCATCTGTAAAGACACATGGACGAAGAACTTGAAGAAGAATGAAAGTGCAAGTGTCGACCTGTAGGCCTCCATGCCCCCTGGCGACCCCATCTTCAACGACGTCTCCTTCGACAGAGATGAAACCGCCTCATCCAGTAAAGTTTCGTTCCATTTTCTGCGTTGGTCAATGCAATCCATCAATCAACTATTCATCTGAATAAAATCAACTGCTAACTGACGAGCAATCGATCACTGAAGCGGCAATTTAAAGCAACAAACTTTCCTCTGAGAACGTTCATCGTATTGGTGGCCACAAAAACACTCCCCCTCATGCCTCCGTACGCTATTATGACGTCATCAACTACGAAACTTCCATGGAGGTTGTCTTCGTCACGGAAACCATTTTCATCATCAGTACTACGTGACTGACGTTTGAATCTGATCCACAGAGCGGAGTTGACGATGGCCACATCATCCTCCCTCCTCCGAGACATCTTCAAACTGCAGAAGTACTCCAACTGGTGTTGTTGTTTCATGTTGAATGCACTATCAAGTATGCAACATTGTATGCCAAACATTGTTTTTTTTCATGTTTATGTTTTACTATGTTGTTAACCTAACATTTTGTATGCAATTCTATGTACACAACATTGTCTACGCTGCATTGTGTAAGCTGCCCTGCCTAAAAATGTCGTCAAATTATTCATAACTGATAACAAATGAAAACATTAACACCATAATGCAAAAAAGTGTTTAGGTTTTTCTAATTCGGACAGAAACACGGCTAACAATATTTCAAATTAATTCAAAAATTATTTATTCTAAAATTTTCATTATTCATAAGAATTTAGAGATGATAAGAAACATACTGGACGAGAATATGGCAGACTGATGTGAAGGAGAACTTCCTGCGGGTCCATGGCAACCTGTTGGTAGCCAGTGAAGAAGTCTTCTTTCAAAACAATTTCTCTCTGACCTCTTTCTGAAGCGATGGTCATTTTTGATCTGGCGCAAACGAGTAGGGGTATCAGGTCTGAGATTGGACTGGCATTCATCAGGTTTCCACCTAGCGACTGATTTAAATTATTAATTGTAATGCCGCACGTGTTTATTTTTTACTGGGATGTTAATAATCTTCCTATGTTAGTTTGATGTCAGTTAAATTAATTTAAAAATCGGTTTTGTTAATAATTCACACGTCCCAACTATCAAACATCTATCGATGCAGCAACGTAACGCTTGGTGACTTCAGTTTAACCGCGGTAGAACGTTATTGTGGTGACCAGCTATCAACATAAAACATGACATGAATGACAACGAATATCAGCGTGGATGATGTCTGATGGAGAACGACAAGCGCAGAAATGGAATGGCAACATGTTGTGTTCATTGGTGCAAACTCACGGCGACGTTTTTGATCTGCTGACTGCCAAACAACTGCAACACCTTCTTCATGGCTGCAAACAGTCTCGTTTGGCATTCTGTCGGCGTGTTAGAAGTTTGTTTGTAAGGAATTTCAATTAACGACTATTATTATTATTATTATCATTATTATTGTTATTATTATTATCATCAATTGGCTGAAAATATCCGCTCCAGCCAATTGCCGCATATTTGCAGATTTAGAGTCTGAGGGTATTCGCCCAATATCTCAATTATTCAACACTTTACGACCCGATATCGCCATACTTCATAATAACAAAATTGAGATTCTAGAATTAACTGTGTGCCATGAAACCAATCTAAAATCCTCCAGGCAATACAAGAGAAATAAATACTCTAATAATTTGCATTGTTGTTTAAATAAAGACTATAAACATTGTTCAATAGTTATAAACTCATTCGAAATAACGCCTATTGGTTTTTACAATAATTTTAATTTTTCACTGTTTAAAGTTCCATGGCCGCTATCATTTAATGATATATTGATAAACACTGTTATAAGATTATCGTATGACATTTACTGTGATAGGAACAAGCTATGATGATAATTAAATATATTTCACCGTTCTGCACTTAACTGCACTTAACAATGAGTAAACTGGTCTTAACCTTTAATATTATTTTAGACAATTTTTAAAAATTTTATCATTGCGCATTATTTAATTAACATTAACTTATGTATATATATATTTATCATCGTATGTTTTTTATGGTGAAAAATAAAAGATGTTCCCATTGTTATCTCGATTCGAATGATGAGCTTCTCAGATTAACACTCTATTTATTACTTTTGAAATTTTATTTTATTTCATTATTTTATTTTATTTGTACTGCCATTTTCATTGATTTTATTGCTGAATAAAAGATTGTTCCCATTATTATCATTATTATCATTATTATCATTATTATTATTATTATTATTATTATTATTATTATCATCTTGAATCTTGTAAATGAAATAATGGCCTAATTTTGTTTGAGGTCATTGTTCTTCAGCAATCAGCGTGCGAACCATGGTGTCACAACGAACCCCAGTTGAAACAGACATCAAAAGAAACAAGCATCACCTACTTAATAACATAAACAATGGGATGACATTTGTCCTAATTTTTAATAATGAATCTTGTTTGTTTGAAATTTGAGCAAGGCATCAACAGTTGGATGTTGTATGCATGCTACATCGTGCCGCTTGCTCCTGCTGACCTCCAAGAGCCAATCAACATCGCAAAACATCTATTGCTCGGTATTATTTATTATTTATTTATTTTATTTGTTATTTATTAACGTAACTGACCAGAGGGTCCCAGAGGGCTCTTATATTAGAGCAACAAGATTGAATGACTCAGTTTAATTTAAGTCCAAACATCCATAAGCCAAATTAATACGTTAATGATTATCATCATCGGTAACATCACATCGCCTATCAGCTACCGTTGACGTTGTTACAGGCAAAATGTTCAAACCTGGTAAGGAGGATATTTTTCCATCCAGAAACTCTTCCAAACTTTCCAAAGTAACGGAAGCACCAACCCAAATATTTTGATCACCATCGCCATCTTTCTTTCCGTGACAGCATTCCACAGGATCGTCTGCAGTTGACGAGAAGTTCTTCTTGAGAGGTTGGTCGCTATCGTAAATGGATCGCAGCTCCGTAATGTTCGTGCAACAAATGATCACAGGGTACTCCATGTTCTTGAAACGAGTCTCTATGCCTTTGTTCATTTAAGAGAAATATCAAGTAACGTCTACTGAAAAATAAAAGCTAATTATTCTTATATAAAATTATTTCAATCAAATACTTGCTGACACGACACAACTTTACATCACCAACCGATCTCCGTGTTCCCAGCGACAAGTTTAGCTTGAGGGTGTTTGACCTTCAAATACAGAAGTTCATTCAGTTTTGTGGGTCGGTACCAAGTCACGTGATTGGATTTGAAACAAAGGTATTGTGAATCCAGTTTTGGAGACTCTTTCTGATGTTTCAAACGAAATATTTGGTCATTGGTTCATTGATTGAAATGTATTTTAAATAATGTTTGAGTGTAATTTAACAACAAATGATTTATACAAAAACATTATAATAATTGAATAATTCGTAGGTTCGTTGTGTGTGCATTTTGTAAAATGATCGCCGTAATTAGAGAAGTTGTCGGACAAAGAAAGTTTACATATACGAACGCATATAAACGCAACAGTTTAGAAGTGAGTAACTCAAAAACATTGCTGCAAAAACCATTAATTATAAATGTAGATTGTAAGACTAGATTTATAGAATTTTTTTGTTATGACAAACCTTCAAAACATCTAACACTCCAGCGTGAACCTCATACTTCATGCCTTCTCCATCCACACCAGCAAAACTTTTCCAGTTATTGTTGATAGTGTGCAAAACGGTGTTCCCATTCTTTTCATGGTTGGTTCTCTTGTTTCCAGTAGAGCCATCCAGTTCTCCCTCCCTCATATCTTCCTGTCCAGAGCAGCCTTCTTCTGCGTGCTGATAATTCATTCATTTAATTACAGTTTCAATTATTTTGTAAGCACTGGACTTCAACAACAGCAAAGAATTGGCTGACGTTAAAAGACTAACATGACGAGCGAATGTTGAAATGAAGCCTTGCACGATCGGTCGGTAGCCAGTGCATCGACACAAGTTTCCTGCCATGAACGTGTCAGTGAACATATGAACGAACGAACTAATAATGAACAAACGAATAAACAAAATTTTTTTACTGTCAGTTACTCTTCATATAATTTTGGACAAAACTATTAAATTATTCATTTGAACAAACTTGTAGAACCCTTCAACAGACGTGAAGGAGAGAAATGCAGACATGAAAGCTAACGGATCAAACACATGTACCGTGGGAAAATAGTAAAATTTGAACATAAAAATTCGAGGCAACCTTGAAGTGCTTCTTCGATATCCAACTCACGGGGGTGTGGATTGTTGCAGAGAAGGACGTACATGGACATGACGAAGCCAGGACTGCAGTAGCCACACTGGGTGCCGTGCTTCTCCGCCAGCACCTCCTGCGTTTGTTTACATTATTCGATATTTTTGGGGTAGCTAAAATTTATAAAAATGATTTTTATTTGAAGTTTAATTGAGTGATTTGACCGGCAAAAAAAGAGTAATAATTAAAGGGAATGGAAGGATGCATTCATTACTTACTTAAACAAATAATTTTAAAAATTTTATTTTCCATCATGCCTATCTACAAATTATCAATCACCCAAAAGCTTTTTTCAGCTATTTCAAAATCTGCAAAATAATTTTAATTGACAAAAGATCAAGAAATTTAAAAGTAGGCAATTACTGTTCTTATCTTTTTTTTCATCATCCTATAAAATACTAAAAAAAATTTCTTTTTAAAAAATCTTTTTTTATTTCGACTAAAATAATAATTGGTAATCAATGCAAAGCGATCATTAAATTGAGCTTGTTGTCTTGCAACTCAGCTGAACCTCATTATAGAAGCTGCACCAACCTGAACAGGATGTAGTCGTGTCCCGATCGACCCGATGCCTTCCACGGTTGTTACGGCGGCTCCATGCATGGCACACAATGGGATGAGGCAGGAGTTGAGACTGAGGTGTCTTATTTGTGAATGATGCAAGTTATTTTCAGCGGTGTTCACTTCATTCAATGCCTACATCGCTTGCAATGTTTGATAACGTTGTCATAAACTGATTTCAATCGTTATTCTCAATGTAAAAAGGATCCAAAATAAGTAACAAAACCAATAAACAAAAGTTCAGAAGAAAAGACAAAAATTATAGTTAAATTTAAAAAATTAAAAATTTGGCTGGCCAATGATTAATTTTTGTACACGTGGAAAATAGGTTTTGCTTCCACATTTCATTGCGTGCTGGTGTTGGTATCTACGTAAATCAACAAGCCAGTTGTTGGCGATTGTATAATGTAATTGAATTTCCAAAGCCACCCATAAAATAACGCATGCAATGTGAAACAGCTTCGTTTATAACAATTTAATCATTGAGACTATACCATGGTGATCTTATATTATAGTAATGTCAGTGATTTATTAAGAAGGCCAAACCTATCTTAACTTACAAGTTGGTTTTCATAAATCAACTTTAATTCTATCATCTCATATTTCTAAAATACTTGAAAACCTTATTTCATATTTATTATTCAATTTTAATTTTATGAAATGTCTGTTTGGAAAGCTATTTGTTTGATGTGATCGAATAACAAAGTGAATAACTGATTGATTGTTTACTAAATTGATTAGTTGACTGACTATCGGTTATCGATTATTGATTAATTAGTTGATTAATTTTAACAATTAAGTTGTTAGATTAAAATCTAAAAAAATTTCAATTTTGAACTTTATTATCATAATTTGAAAAATTCACTTACTTCGGGACATTGTTGACGATTTTCGTTAGGAGCACTGTGCAAGTCCCACACCCACCCTCTCCACATCCGTATTTTGTCCCCTTCAAGTTTACTGTCAATATATTGTTGTTTATTATCATTTTTATTTAACATATTAATAATGTTCTTAATAAAATAATGTATCACATAAAATAAAATTGGTCCTACGTAGCATCTACAATTTATAAACGGAGATGATCAAAAGCAGTTTGTGCATGTTTATAAGTTTGTTGTTGGATGAATGTTTAATGTTGTCCATTCTTTGCTTCCCGAGGAACGTTCGTCTGGGGCCTAATGCAAAACAGCGTCAACCAGTTTGTAATTGTGTGTCAGGAACCGTCAGGAAGTTAAGTCGTCTGCCGATCTGAAACGACAGTTCCATCTTATTGATTGGTGGGTCTGGCAGGTACATTAGTAGAAGGTCATTTGTAAACCATTACAAGTTTTTAAACTTGCGACCAATGCAAATCTTTTAAGATTGGATTGGTGTAGCAGTAACATGATCATTTTTCAGACATCTGAACACTACCTTGGCTGTGTGATTTGGTACAGACTACAATAATTTATAGATTTTTTGACAAACTTTACAGCAGCTTATTTCAGCAATTGTCAGGGAGTTTACCAATGCCTGCCTCTCTCATATTTTGTAATGCATGTTTTCAAAATAAACATTTTTTTGTATTTTTTGTATTTGAGACAAACAAGTTGACAAGAGCGTATCGATGTGACATTTCATGGAATTATTACAGTTAAAATGAAGTTTACACTTAGTATCATGCTCTAAAATTAAATTCTTTCAATCTCGTGGACAGACAGGACCAATTGTAAGGCACTATTTTATCAAAAATGTCATTCAGTTCGTTATTGAGTCGAGCATATAAAATTCTTCATTCACACCAACACCTGTGCGTGCGTAGTCTCTAAAGACGACAGAATCAAGGATAAGCTCGGAACTTTCTGCAGACGATTTTACGGTGTTATCAACCTTTTAGATGATGTGTGTGTGTACGTGTGTGTGTGTGTGTGTGTGTGTGTGTGTGTGTAAATGTGTGTTTGTGTGTATGTTTATAAAGAAATGTATAAAACTGTGTGTTTTGTTTAAAGCTGCATAATAAATATTTTTTTATTTTAAAATATTAAACAATTTGTAAGATGTTATTTGTGCTATGTTTTTTCTAAGTTCATTCAAAAATTAAACCACATCATCATTTCAATTCCTATTTATTGCGTGAAGTGAGAGCTACTTGCAATTTTCTACAAATAATAGTTAAATTACAAGTATATCAACAACTGCAGTCAATGACTCAGTTAAATTAACAAACAATATCCAAATATTATTAATAAAGAAAAACTCACAAATGTCTCTTAAATAGGTCAGCAGAGACATATCTGGGTCGGGTTCCAACACGTTGACCTTTTCCCCGTTCACATAAAATGTTAGTGTGCTATCCATTGCGACGGTATGTTGTGTGTTGGATTCAAAATACTTTTAATTTTATATCGTTCTATTTTTCTATTCGGTATATCTATATATACTTATATACTTAACTGATATAGATATATATATATATATATATATATATATATATCAATTCGGTATAGAGTTATATGTGTAGCAATTCGGTATAGAGCTATTATATTATCTCATAGAACTTTGAACTTTTTAAAGAATTCAAATTAAAAATAAATTCGTGCTCACTTATAATATTATATAAATAAATATATGTGTTTGTGCGTGTGTGTATGTGTGTGTCTGCCTGTCTGCGTATTTGTGGTGTGTGCGTGTATGCGTGTTATATTTGGTAAAATTGTTTTTCAGCGTTCATTTGTACGCTTTTGTTCAAAAATTTTTGCAACAAACACGACAGACAGACGTCAAATAAAATTGAATGCGAAAATTTTCTTCGCTAATTAGTACCTCAGTGAAGTTTGAACATGATCAGAGTCTACCATTTCCGGTAGGTCCATAGGTACTCGTGGACTATGGTGCCTGCAATGTCAATAGTTAGCGATAACGCAATACAAAAAATGACTACCAGGACACATTATTTATTTTCACAGTTTATTATCACAATTATTAACATGTAACAATGTCTTTTATTAATTATCTTTGTAAAATGTTAAAAAACAATCTAACTACACATATTTATGTTATTACACTTCACTCACATCACCCAAGTTTTTCCACCACACTCTCTGTGCCAACATCTCATTTCATTTTTTTCCCCATCGTTTTGGGGAAATGGCCAAATCCTCTTCCGTTGTGGGGTAGCAGTGGCAAAAGGAAGATCATCGTGATCAATTTCAGTGTGAGCTTACGATATCATTTATGTGCAACTTCAATGCAAAATTGCAAAATTTCTAGTGTCTCCCATCAGTAATCAATCTCTGATACAGCAGCCAAGAGTTTGCCAGTGTCAAATCTGAAATATGAAACAAGATACATATTTCTCACTTTTTGGTTCTCGCGTTCAACCTGGTAAAATATGTCAGTATATTTTCAAAATCGACTAATTTTAGATGGTTTTGCATTCAAACTGTAGCAACTTTGAATATTTTGAAATGAACACCAATCAGCTCTTTCCATTGAACTATCATTATCTTTTTTCCCACGAATGGGTGCAAGATTTGATCAGAATTTTATTTTATAACCCATCTTGTCCTGTTTCCTCCACTGCTTGCCATGCCTTTTCCAAGGTTTAAAAAACAAATGTTTTCTTAATAAACTCAAGATGATCTCGTTATAAATCAAAAAGATATATTTAAAATAGAATGTTTTAATTGTATTTTGGATAGTGCTATAAATTCGATTGAAGAAAGATATAACCAGTAAAATAAACACTGTGATGTTTTTCAATTCCTGCACGATATTGCAAATATTAAAAAAAATTTCAAAGAAAAGTTTTAGAGGTTAATGTTTAAATCTTCAAATAATATTAAGCGCTGATACTTTTGCAGATATTGATGGCATGGAATTATTAGATGAATTGCTTGCATTGTATAAATTAATTGATCAAAAAACGTCACCATTAAAAGTACTGGAGTTTATTTTAAAAAACAACAATTTCACCCCAAATATTTCTATTGCTTTACGAATTCTGTTAACACAGCCAGTATCAGTTGCATCTGGTCTGTAGAGCGTAGTTTTTCAGAACTGGAATTAATTAAAGATTACTTAAGATCTACTGTCACAAAATCGTGTGGCAAGTCTTTTTTTAATTTCCCCATAGAATGTGATATTGTTAAACAATTAGATTTTACTGAGTTATTGAAGGCGTTTGCATCTGAAAAGAATAGGAAAGTAAACTTTATTCACTAAGTCATGTTGAAATATGCCCATTTTTTATGTATTTTGCTTGCTTTTTGTGTTTGTGCTGTTTGGATTTAATGTTTTGCAAAAATAGAATTTGTACGTCACTCTTAGTTTTACTTTAAGATATTAAAAATTTTTTAATATATTAGTGCTTTTTAGTTATTGTCTCTTTATTGCCTCGGGCGGCAAAATACCTTGAGCCGGCGCTGTTGACTGATAAACTATTAAACAAATTGATTGATTCATTATTCTTCCCTTCCCATCATAAAATCATTGGGAGCAAGAGCAGCCACGACGTCTTAAAACTGGTGCAGGGGACCTCCTAATGATGCAGAAGCTTAATAACAGTATGACGCACGCGTTTTTGGACCAGGTACACATTTTTTTTATTGATACCACCAAATGTTATCGTACATTAATATCAAAACTCTTCGCAGATGAATCTGGTAAAAAAACTCATCATAGAGCTACATTAAAACTTGTAGATTTTTATCAGATCAATAAATTATATTTATTAATGATGAATATTAAAAAACTTGTCTCGGAACAAATCTCGAACCTCCTTAGCTCCGCAACAAAATTTTAACCCCACCCCTCGGAGCGTTGCGTAAAGTTCTAACGACTGCTAAATCCGCCATAGCTTCAATTGATCCTTTTGTCAGGAGCTCAGTTCCTCCTTCACCAACTATTCTCCATCACTGACTATTTATTGAACATACTGCAAATCGCGGAAATGGCGTTTTAGAAAAAGCCGATTGATTGGTCTGTATCACGGTCGGTCTGTTCCAGCGTTTCCTGTCTTCGCCGAGTTTTAAAATCGCAGAACTCGTCTAATAACATCAATACTCATTTAAAAACACTTTTCTTCAAATTTATTATTGCATTCCACATATTGAAAATAATTTTTTACAAAAACATAATTAAAAAATCAATCAAAGAGGATACAGAGCAGAGGTATCTAACCTTTCTAGAAAAATACATTGTCTCAGCACTTTTAATTACATGAAAATACAATAAATATATGACTATATACAAACACAGTGAATAGCATCAGTGAATGAAACTCATTTCTTATCCCCGTGTGTTTCGGCAACAGGCTCTTTTGATATCGTTTCTTCAGGTGGCGTGGTTTCTTCTTGTGTTGATGTTGTTCGATAAATTATTGGATTAATCCAGGAAGCAAATTTTTCTTTTGGACTTCTTGACAAGTTGAACAAATTCGAAGGTGGTCCCGAGTTTCTTCTTTCTTCATCCTTCACTCTCACAGACCTCGTCTCCGAACTAGCACGGACCATGTTCTGGCACGATTCCGCTACAGCACTTCTCGCTTCAATTTTCGAATCTAGTGATCCAACTTTGTTTGCTTTTTCCAAGTCTCTGTGAGCCGACGAGAGAGCGGATGACGATGATAACGATTCTTTTAGACAACTTTTTTTTGCTTCATTAAGTAATTTTGATTCACTGGGATTGTTATAATCGAAAACCGTACTTCCACTTTTTGTTGACTGGAAATCCGTTACACCCCCGCTACATTGCGGCTGTTCGAGCTTTTTATTCTGCTGCATTGACCTTTGCTTGGCTTCTTTGGCCATCGATAGGAACATCTTTTTTTTACTCTCCGGTGTAGACATGACTAAATTTAAATTGTCGTTTGTGTTGCTGCTGCTAGATAACAAAGTTTTTGCAAGTTGTTGCTGCCTGGCGATGCTGTCTGTTAGTTTAGCCTTCAACCTTCTGGCTCGTCTTTCATGTTCCTGCTCGGATGCTACTGAATTGAAAGCTGGTACTTTATCGACAGACGCAAATATGGACTGCTTGATGGATGGTGGTGATTTGTTGTTCGTGTTAACACTCTGAGGGTCATCTGTTTCGAAGTTGTCACATTAGTCAGATGATGAAAACAACATTCCTCTACATTATTATACTTGAAAATATTAGTTCAAACTTAACCATCAATTTCTCTTGTCTTTCTCCTGTGGGCCTGTCCAGGAAAATGAGGTGATCCAAGCAATGAGGGTGATGATGAAGATGACGGAGCAAGGTTCATGCGAGTGATTGACGAAAGAGTTGAACCAGCGTACATGGAGTCCACCAGATGAGCGGGCATGTCGAGCACCTTAGCAATCATCTGCATCTTCTTCTGTCGGGCCTTCAATCGCCCTTTCGTTAATCGTTGTCTAGTTCAATTTAAAATTATATTTTTCTATACAATGGTTACCGAAAAATAAATGCAACTTTTTAGTGTAGAATAAAATATGATAAAATCTAAATAAGAAAAAGGTTTAAAAACCTGGCAGCCATGCATCTGATGTGATCATCAAACAGAAACTTAGCGGAGAGGATTGGGAGAGGTCTAGTTCTGACGTTTGTATTACTGGATGGTTTGTGGATGGTGACCTGCAGACATCTGCTGTCCTCCTTGTCACTCGTCACTTCTGTGTCCTGCTCCATCGGTTAAAAATATAAATTAATTAACGTAAAACATCTCATTCAGAAATTAATTCTGTGAGAACATCAGGGTTACAAGGAAAACACAGTTGTAAGGAACCTGCCAACGCCACATCATCTATCACCATTAACATCCACGTAAATTATAATTCACAAGAAATCCAAGTAAAACAAAAATAAGATTAGTAACATCCTGATAACCTGAAGGAACCCAGTGAACCTCACAAGACCCCATCCCAATTTTTTTGAGTCTGGTTCAACAAGGATCAGTTGTAGTGTGTCAATCACGAGAAATCTTCTTTCCTTTTTGCTAAATGATCAAGTACTCAGTATTATTAAAATAGTAAATTATTAAAAGATGTCATTTCATTAAAAAACCAGCCGACCGATTTGTAATAATCTGCGGAAGATGCACATTGCAATGTAACAGCTAGATTCTGCATATTAGTCATACCATCCAATGTACATCATCTCCACTATTTACCAAAGAAATCGGTGCCCACCATTCAATGGTCATCTCTCGAAACGCGATAGCGATAATTTGTATTAAATTTCAAAAACATTTGAAAGTAGAACAAACCTCTCATTGTGGATGACAGTGCATGCAATCAGATCACTGTTGTCTTGAAAATTTAAAACATTGCCAATCATATGATCGATGGAGAGATAGAACGATGGATGATTGCACGTATAGATAGATTGAAACAGTTAGAATTAACAAATAACACATTTTTTATTAAAGATTTTATAAACATAAACAATGAGTTTCAATTAATTTAAAAAGAAATAAACGCTTCAAATATAAAGAAAAAGAAAGTTTCGGTTAAGCTCTTACTCAGGTCAAGAACATCATCGAAATGAACGCACTCGTTCTCCTTGGTGAGAGGCAGTGAAGTGTCCTCTTCACGTCTCAAGTAATACGAGAGGCTCCTCACTAGGAAGAAGAATCTTATGGCCTTGTGGGGGTCAAATTATAAAATAATGACCTTCATTAGGAAAACTTACTGTGCAGAAGAAAACTGTTCCCAACGGAATGCAAACACAGTTGGCGCGTTACTCAAAACTTCCATCACGATATTTAGTTCCTCTAGTTTTAAGAGCTTATTAATTCATTTCTCATGTTGTAAATAAATTTCAAGTGAAGCATCATTGTCATCATCATCAAAATCATCGTCATCATCATGATCATAATCATCGTCATCCTCATCATCATAATCATCATCATCGTCATCATAATCATCAACGAACCCGTCGAGCTCTTTCAACCTCTCCACAGGGAAGTCTCTTGCAGAAATCGATGCCGGTGAGTGGGGTGCCGATGGGGGGGAGGAGGATGCAGGCGTCCATCATCAGGTGGTCCACGTTCAGAGGGTGCGTCTGACAGGTCGTCAAAGAAGGTTCAGCGGTCATTTCAATTACTCCCACCCATTATTATCATGGCCCGATGTTCGTTTAACAAAAAATATTATAACGAGTGTGTTAAAACATCGTGCCAGAATATTGAAAGATGCTAACTGTCAGCTCCCTGTGCTCGTCTTCAAACATGTCCAGAAATATCTCCTCGCTCTGCATTTGAAAATTATCATCTGCTCATTAAATTGTCCAGCTATCGGAATAAATGAAGCAAATAAGAAAAGAAAAACAACGCATTGAAATGTGCAATGAAAGTGAGTAATACGTATCAATACCTTTTGCCATACCTTGTAGAAGTTCCTGAGCATGAGTGTCGATCCTTCCTTGATTCCCTCAACGGCTGCTATGTACTCGTCATCCAAGCCGCTGACGCACATGACCTTCAACAACATGATGCTCAACTCCAAGGTCACCAGTCGTATCTTGCTCGCTGGTTGTGTTTTATAATAAAACTTTGTGTCAACTGCAGTTAATAACATAATATGAGGATTAGCTGGATTGGAAAAGTTAGGTTCAGGAATTCGGTGACCAGACACCTCATCATACGAGGCATTTCATCATTGCAACATTTCAACATTATAGCAATTCATCATTATAGTATTTCATCACCAATGTGATCTCCTGACCACAACATCTTATGTGATTTTAAGATTACAGGAAAACTGATCTTGCAAAGAAATTTCTTATAAGATTATGGTTTGATACACCCCGGTGCCCAGCAGCAGTGCCCTCATTCTTAGCTATGGTAATTAATCTAGAGAATTAATTTTAATTTAAAAGTTAGTTTAAATGCTTTTGTCACTGTGGCGCATTTTCTCACAGGGTAAATTGGTAAGTAGTTAGGGTTAGGGTTAAAGTCAAGAAAAACAAAAACAAAAAATTTAAAAATGAAAATGTTATCAAATTTCATAGTTTATAGAAGAAATATTATTAAACAGAAAAATAAATAAATGCATCGATAATGGATGTAAATAAATAAACTTTACCATTATACTTTCATACTTGTAAGATTAAATATTATTTTTTTCATAAAATCATCCACACATCAAAAAAAATAAAAATTGGTAAAAAGTTTCAAAAAAAATAGCACGATTCGCTTTCATCCATTTATCCAATTCATTGTGATTTTCCTTCACGTACGGTTTAAATGCACTTTATGCAACGATGAAATGTTATGGTGATGAAATACTATAATGATCAATTGCTATAACGCTGAAATGTGCAATGACGAATTGCTATAATGGTGAAATGTTGCGGTGATGAAATATTTCGTGTAATAAGATGTCAGGGAACCAAGGAATTCGGATGAAGTGAGATCGAGTTTATCCAAAATGTGTTAAATTTAACAGTTATAAAAACAAATAAACCAATAACTAAACAAGTTAATGATCCCAAGCGTCTTTAACAAAAAGAATTTTTTTGGCAATTTCAGCATTTGTATTGTGTTGTTTAAACGTTTTTAAAATTTCAGAAATGAAACATCACAGCTGCTATAAATATTTTAAAATCAATTCTCTCTATGTTTTTGTTGTGTTACAATGTTATCAGTTTATCTGACGCTTTATGCTCAATATTATCATATTATAATATATTACATCTTTTTTAAACACATCATGCCTCCGTGCTTTTTAAGTTTGTACAAATGCTGAAACATTTAAGTCATAACCTCGTGCAATGTTGAAAACAATGGAGGAATGAAAATAAAATAAATTATGCAAACCATTCTGGCAAGACAGAGACATTATGTTGATAAGATGTTGTATCACAACCACGTTGAAACTCTGGAACACCTGGAAAACAAATAACCAACAAGAAACTGCCATGAATCAATCTTTCTTCACACAGGGTGCACTTTTTCTATCGTTCAGTGATGCAGTTACAACACATTACAATATCACTCGACTGTTGACTAAAACCACAGTGATGTTTCAATGCCTTAATTTGTGAAACTTGAGCGCTTTTATTTAATAACCTAAATAACCTAGAATTATTCTTAAATTAAAAGACAAATGTGAACTATTAACGTGAGCATTTTTATTGTATACCCTGCTGAAATGTTAAAATGGAGTTTTTAATAGTCGTTAAACATAGTCGAGTCATACTAACAGCTGATGTAGATTCCTGCAAAGGTATTTGAATGGAATCCAACATATTCTGGTCCACACCTACGTTACCAATATATTTTTTAAATTTATTCAATTATTTCCTATATAATTTTTAATAGATCTAATCGGATATGCAAAAATAGACATAAGGAAACCATGACCATGAGATGAGTAAGCAAAACATTTCATCTCTGATCAATACAACAAGACAGAATGAAGAGCAGACCTGTATTCAACTTGAGAGAGTAGATGAGGCAGAGAGCCAGGAGTGCTTGGTAGTCATCTCTCGAGCAGCGCAGTGAGGAAAGTATCATCGTCAGGTATGGTCTGGTTTAAATGGTAACAAACAAATTATCGCATTCAATTACATATCTACGCTACGTACAGAGATGAACATCGAATGACGAAAAAATGGTGGAAACACGTGAATACCTTGCAGGAATCTTTAATGGCTGGAGCGTTATGGAAGAGTTGTTGATGCATCTCATCAGCTTCTCTTCGTCAGTGGAGTTGGTGTCTGTGATGACTTCGTTGGATTTCATCTTTGACCCACACGCTGTGCATGTGTATGGTTAATCAGCAGATAAAAAAAATGTTAAAGACATCCAGCATTTAGTTTTGTGTAAACTACATATATACAACGAAATAAAAAAAACCCTGGTTGTCTGCAGTTGTTGAATTAAGAGTTTTGTCATCGTCATCCTTCTTTTTCAAGATTTCCTGCTGTCGCAATGATGTAATAATATTTTGTAATCAATATGATGTATAATACTTTGTGATATTAATATGATGTAATAATGTTTTGTAATTATCATGATGAAATAATATTCTGTGATATTACTAAAAAGAAATATTAAAAAGCTATTATCATTGACTAGTGATTGAAGTTTATCCCACTAAACATTAGCTTCCCTTACAATAGTTGTTACAATCATCCATGCTGTACTGCACTCACAAGCATGTTAATTTTCATTCCAATCGTCATCAACATCAGCCACACCACTTTTTGTTTTTTATTTGCTTTTTTTTCAAGATTTGTATTCGATATTTTAGTTGGATAGAACATTCTGATATAGGCTTATGGGTTTTATGACCCACACTCATAAATTTTATGCTGCCTTATGTTATGTTATCTAACCAAACAGAATTTGAATAACCATCTTCACAACCAGCAGAAACTTACTGTGAAGCCATCGTCAATGTCCTTCATGAATATGATGCGGACCAACTCAGTGACCAACGGACCGTGATGAATTATCAGGAAAAGCTGTGAATCAATTCATTTCCGAGGCATTAAACGTAAAAATTTGAATCATTAAATGCAAATGAAGGGAATGGTAATGACATATACAGCAAAAATATATCTGACAGAATGTTTAACAAATTAATGAAAACAAATTCTCCTGATCAAAATCTGAATAATTTGAACGAAAAAAAAAAAAAAATCATCTATTCAGATAAATGATACAAAATTTAGCAGGAACTAACTTGTGAGATAAGAAAGAGAGAAACTATACAGTTGTCCTGTAACAAAATTTAATAATATCAGTCATTTCCAGCTTTCACTGAATTTACTAACTACAAGCAGCCCCATCGCCCTCGTGTGGTGGTACATTATGATCACACGTCATCATCCTCCTAATGTTGTTGTGACTTGTTACACCATGCATTGCTATTAAAAATCCAACTAACCATTTGTAACACTGATAACTGACAATCAACAAATAACTAAAAATATCAGCAACTATTAATATGAAATGCCAACGACAACAACAACCAACAAAAAACTATCCGCAACAACATATTCTTTAATTTAGTTACTTATTGTAAGTAAGTGAATTTGTTATTTTTAATTTGTAATATTTTAAACTTTTAAATAACCAAAATTTGCAATTTGTCATAACATCAACAACAACGTCATCAACAACACCTGAATGACATCACTGGCGGTATCACTTGAAGTCTTCTTAGCAGCAAATCTGCTGTGCGCAGCAGCAGCAGCGTTGAATGCTTCATCGTCGTGACCGGGTAGGAGTGAATGGATGTAGAGAGGGATGAAGAGCTGGTTGAGGAGATGTTCTGTGAGTACCTCGTTGAGGGCTTCTATCTCGAGGCATAGGATGTCGTTGATGTAGTGCAGGTGGTCCAGGTGTTCTGCAATCAGATCAGATAACTTACCCTTGCTGTTATGGCTGGTGGTGGAGGCGGGGGTCGGGCAAGTTCGTAATTACGGTTAGTTGATTATTTATAGTTAATCTTAATTCATTATCTTAAAGTCAGATTACTGACTGATGTGATGTATATGTTACTATTGTGGTATATAAATAAATAAATGATGGCATACAATTTAAGAAAATCGGCGTCAATAAACTCATGTAAGCGTGATGTCAAGAAGCTATTAAAGTCTGCGTTTATGTTTCATTGACTGAAATCATATACTTGTTTTTCTTTTGCACTTCAGTACGAATGTTATAGACTATCAAGATATGTATGTTTGTTTTAGTTAAGGTAGTCTGCACAAGATTCTTCCTTAATGTTATTACCTGATTTCTTTTAAATTAACTAGAAATGGAAAAAAATTAATCTGTAAATTTCATTTCAGAATCTAAAGACTCAATTGTTGGTGAGTTGGCGAAATGTTGGAAACGATAAAAAATCAACTAGAAAGTTACCAGGTGTCAAAACCAGCTCTATAACTGATTTGGAAGAAATTTTGTATACATTAAAATTAATTTAATAAAAAAATTTCTTAGAAATTTAAATTACCACAAACATTGAGTGAATTAAATTTTTAGTCTATTTTGAATAAAATTAACATTAAATTATCAAAAACAAAACATGCTTTTCTATAACAGTCAAAGAATCATACCCCAAAAACAATATCCAAAACTATCCTGAAATTAGTTAAACAATTCTAAATTCGTAATAACTGAAAGTTTCAAAGTCGTTGGAGTTATTATTGTTGACAAACTTAACTTTGGAATACATACTGAGCTTATTAGTGGCAAATATCTATTTCTTTGAGAATATTTTTCAGAGTTAAACCTTTTTTTTAGATAATAATGCAAAAAAACTGCTATATATTTATATAGTTTACCCTCAGCTATTTTACTGTAACTTAATATGGGGATGTACTAAAAAGACGACAGTTCAAAGATTATATACGGGACAAAAACAATCCATTAAAACATTATGTTCAAATGATTATTATGATCATAATATGAATGAAGATATTTATCTACATCCCATGCTTAGTTACTAAATAACAGAAATCATGTGCCAACTTCACTTGAAACAGACGAAACCATCCTCAAACAAATCATGAAAAAAAAACGTTGCAACGATCCATCACACTGATAGAATTACACTTAGATATACTGCATCAACTGCAAGACCTCACAATCAGATGATTCAATTAAGACGTCCCAATCTCAAAATAGCTGAGATTTTGCAGTGACTGGTCCTGTGTTCTGGAAGAGTCTGCCTAAGAAATATTCACGAGGTGCCTGCATTTGCATTTTTATTTCTCGAAGATATTTTTCTACATCTCATTCTTACTATACCAGATGGTCCTGGGTATGACATAAAACTGCATCCACGCTGCCTTGCGTGCTTTTGAGCGAAAGGCTAGGCCCACCGCTTATAACTGGTGGTTGTCGTCAGGATGGGTGTCCGGATGTAAAAACTTTTCCCCAAATTATTCTTATGCCATCACAAAGAAAAACAACGGCCCCTAGTCCCCAGCAGGCCTTAATTGGTCAAGGGGTGCCAAGAATCCCTGGGAAGTATGCAATAGCGGAGGGATGTTGCAGAAAAATTCAGAATGGCCCCTCTATGGTACTTAGACTTGGAACGCTCAACGTTGGATGACTGACTGGCCGCAGCATGAAAATCGCAGAAATGCTCGAGCGTAGAAGGATTGACATCAGCTGCGCTTCAGGAAACCCGATGGAAATCGAATGGTGTCTGTCATGTCAACTCAGACAAAGAAAATATAAACTATTCTGGAATGGTCAAAAGACGGCCAAAAATGGTGTTGAAATTTTTGTCAGAGAACCGCTAGCACAAGTTGTATGGATATTAAAAGGATTAGTTCACGTCTCATGTGGATCAAGCTTCGCATAGAAAAGCAAACATTGATTATTTTTTCTGCATACGCACCACAGACAGGCGAATCAGAAGAGATGAAAAATGACTTCTGGACTGCATTCTCTGACACCATCTCAACAATACCAAAATCTGAAACAATCCTGATTGGAGGCGATCTCAATGGCCACGTTGGAGAGAAAACAGATGGTTTTGATAACGTACATGGCGGTTTTGGCTATGGAAAACGGAATGAAGATGGCAACCGCATCCTTGAGTTTGCTGAAAGTCACGAGTTTTGTTTACTGAACACATATTTTAGAAAGAGGTTAGAACATCTCATAACATACAAAAGTGGACCATCAGCCACGAAAATTGATTTCTTCGCTGTCAAGCAACAACATCGAAGGCTATTCAAAAACGTCAAAGTTATACCTGGCGAATCATGTGTCGCCCAACATAGACTTCTTGTGGCAGACCTGGTTGTCGAACTGTCAAAACATAAATCTAAACAAATGCCTCGGAGAATCAAAACGTGGAAGCTGAAAAACAATATTCATCGAGAAAAATTTCAACAGATTGTCGCCACACAGTTAGACCACCAATCGCAAGCCAGTACAGATTGGAGTACATACAAAACCGTTTTAATGAACGCTGCAACTACAGTTTGTGGGAAAACTGGTACAAAACGTCAGCATGAACGTGACACTTGGTGGTGGAATGACAGTGAACAAAATTCAATAGCTGAAAAGAAAGTTGCATACAAGCAGTGGCAAAAATCAAAGTCTGTAGATGACCATAAAATTTTCCGTGAGAAGAACAACTATGCAAGACGTCAAGTTGCACTGGCACGGACAGATTAGTGAAGAGAGTGGCTCGCTAAAAGCAAAGGTGAACAAATGAAATCTCTGTATCGTATAGCAAAACAAGCAAAGCGTACGAAAAAAGACATAGTTGGTGCCTCATGTATCAAAAACGACAAAAATGAGATGGTTCTTGAACAAGATGAGATCAAGCTACAGTGGAGAGAATACTTCAACCGTCTGTTAAACGAAACAAATCCCATCAATGTTAACTTTGACGCTCTACCCATCGAAGGTCCGATTCCAGACATCACTATAGAGGAGCTTACAGAAGCTCTAAAAGCTATGAAGGATGGAAGGCAGCAGGGCCCTCTGGACTCACAAATGACATTATCAAAGCATCTGGTACTGCAGGTATCCAAACGTTACTACAACTTTGCCGTGAAATCTGGAGAAATTGCTCAATGCCGACTGAATGGAACTATAGCATGACAGTCCCGCTATACAAAGGCAAAGGTGATCCATTGAACTGAAGATTAACGTCGTGCATCACAATCGGAAATTATCAATTTGGTTTTCTAGCGGGGAAATCAACAATTGATGCAAATCACATCCTTCGGCAACTGCAAGAGAAGTACCTCGCAAAGCATCAACAACTATCACATATTTTTGTAGACCTTGAAAAAGCATTTGATCGAGTTCCCCGTGAAGCAATCAGGTGGAGTCTACGTCGACAACTCATTCCAGAATATCTTTTTCGACTTGTGATGGAAATGTATACGAATACTAAGACTCTTGTCAGCACAACGGTTGGAAACACAGATGCATTTGACATCGGCGTTGGAGTTCACCAAGGCTCGATTCTCAGTCCACTTTTATTTATAATTGTGATGGAAGAAATCACAAAACCGATACGCACTGGTGACATTTGGAATCTAGTATATGCTGATGATATCGTTTTAACAGCCACGTCTGAGCAGGATACAGCACAGATGTTTGAAGATTGGAACACCAGACTGGCCGAACATTGATTCAAAGTCAACATCAGCAAAACCATAGCAATGAACACTAGTGAACCCATCCAACCCACAGCTACTGGACGATGGCCCTGTTCAGTTTGTAAAGCTGGTGTAGGTAACAATTCAATCAAGTGTCAGCAGTGTAACCAGTGGTGTCACAAACGTTGTTCAAAAATAATTGGTACTTTATCTAAAGTGTCCAATTTTGTTTGTCCTGCTTGCATCAATCCAAAACAACAAATTCAAAAAGCCCTTTTTTTGAAGCCATTAAAATAGAGAAAATCACATCGTTTCAATATCTAGGGGATGTTCTGGATTGTACTGGAACAGCTGAAGCTGCCGTTCGAGCACGCATACGTGCAGCCTGGAATAAATGGCATCTCCTTGTCTCTATATTGATGCGGCGTGACATCCCACTACCACTACGATCAAGACT